GACCATTTTTTGAAATGAAAACATAGGGAAAATACATATAACCATAATTCTTCCAATCGATTGCTGTAAACCAAATAGAAAATTCAGCAATTTCAATGAGGGTTTTCCTAAAATCTCAAAACCCTAAAATTTTGACATATATTATTAACGCATGGTATGGTGAAACATGTGTATAAAACCTGAAAATATTCCAATTTCGAGGGCAATATTATATATGAGGCATACTTAAGCGGGACCAATATTGACAACATTGTGTAGGAATTAGCAACTACTTGGTGTTTTCATTATATAAGGGGTTAGGCCTAATTAAGGCCGATGCAGCTCAAGTTCCGAGCAAATATTTTAGTTTTGAATTTCAATACCGTCCATCACGCTAAATATTAAATAGGTAGGATGTTTTATATAGGACCTGGTCCTAAATGCGGGTCAATATAGTTCATTCTCAAACCTCACGTTTTAGTTTTTAGGTCAAGATAAAAATGATTACAACATATGGCTAAATCGACTAAATCGTTTTAGAATTCCATACTATGTGAACTGAAAATTTCGTCTGCCGAATAACCCCCCTACTATGGTGGAATACAGCTACATGGGATAACCCCAACACCCGGAAAACATCAGCTAACTATTTTAAAATAAAAAGGGGGTTATAAGGGGACTACCCCTAAAAGGGGGTTAATATTAATAATTTTTGGTAGGGAGATTTGTTACCATATACGACTACAAAATACCAAATTTCAGCGAAATCGGTTGAAAAACGCGCTCAAGAACCCCAAAATACCGAAAATTTGGGGGTACCCTTATATGGGAGCTATGCCTAAACGTGGGCCGATAAAGCCCATCTTCGAACTTGACCTGCCTGCAGACAAAAGACGACTCTATGCAAAATTTTGGCGATCTATCTCCATTCGTTTAGACGCTAGAGTGATTACAACAGACAGACAGACAGACGGACAGACGGACAGACGGACATGGCTATATCGTCATAGAATTTTACGCTGATCAAGAATATATATACTTTATAGGGTCGGAAATGATTATTTCGATGCGTTACAAACGGAAAAACAAAACTAATATACCCTCCATACTATGGTGGAGGGTATAAAAAGGGGGTTATAAGGGGACTACCCCTAAAAGGGGGTGAATATTAATAATTTTTGGTAGGGAGATTTGTTACCATATACGACTACAAAATACCAAATTTCAGCGAAATCGGTTGAAAAACGCGCTCAAGAACCCCAAAATACCGCAAAATTGGGGGTACCCTTATATGGGGGCTACCAGAAAAAGTGGACCCATATTTATAATTTTTTGTGGAGATATTAAGTACCCAATAAGAACCCTATGTAGCAAATTTCAGCGAATTCGGTTGAAAACCGCGCTCAAGAACCCCAAAATACCGAAAATTTGGGGGTACCCTTATATGGGAGCTATGCCTAAACGTGGACCGATAAAGCCCATCTTCGAACTTGACCTGCCTGCAGACAAAAGACGACTCTATGCAAAATTTTGGCGATCTATCTCCATTCGTTTAGACGCTAGAGTGATTACAACAGACAGACAGACGGACAGACGGACATGGCTATATCGTCATAGAATTTTACGCTGATCAAGAATATATATACTTTATAGGGTCGGAAATGATTATTTCGATGCGTTACAAACGGAAAAACAAAACTAATATACCCTCCATACTATGGTGGAGGGTATAAAAAGGGGGTTATAAGGGGACTACCCCTAAAAGGGGGTGAATATTAATAATTTTTGGTAGGGAGATTTGTTACCATATACGACTACAAAATACCAAATTTCAGCGAAATCGGTTGAAAAACGCGCTCAAGAACCCCAAAATACCGCAAAATTGGGGGTACCCTTATATGGGGGCTACCAGAAAAAGTGGACCTATATTTATAATTTTTTGTGGAGATATTAAGTACCCAATAAGAACCCTATGTAGCAAATTTCAGCGAATTCGGTTGAAAACCGCGCTCAAGAACCCCAAAATACCCATCTTCGAACTTGACCTGCCTGCAGACAAAAGACGACTCTATGCAAAATTTTGGCGATCTATCTCCATTCGTTTAGACGCTAGAGTGATTACAACAGACAGACAGACAGACGGACAGACGGACAGACGGACATGGCTATATCGTCATAGAATTTTACGCTGATCAAGAATATATATACTTTATAGGGTCGGATATGATTATTTCGATGCGTTACAAACGGAAAAACAAAACTAATATACCCTCCATACTATGGTGGAGGGTATAAAAAGGGTATACCACATTTGCATCACCTCCGATACTAAATCCTATATCAGACTGTTTGTCTAAAACAAGGAGGATTTTAATTATTTTTTTTTTTTTGTTATAAAAATAGCGTTACTACGTGTTAGTTAATGAATAACATTTTATTCTTTTTATGCATGAACATGAACATTGTAACTTAAAATTAATAACAATAGGAAATCTCGTTTTTATTGAAGGAATTATGGATACGATTTAATATTTAGACAATCTAAAAGATAATTTGAAATGTAGTGCCGAAAATTTGGGATTGGATCGTTTCTATTTTATCAAGACAATGACACCAAACACAAGTCACGGATATTTCGAGAATGGATGTTTTATAATTGTCCAAAAGTGATTCAAATAACTTTTATCTTGGATACTTTTCACAGTTAGGTTGCAATTGATATTGTTTAACAATCATTGTTTTTTTATATTGAATTCGAATAAATATTGTTTATTTTATTGCATCAATTTTAAGTTAAGATGTTCATGTTTCCACCAATAAATTGTTGTTTTTATAAAAAACCAATTGTTAATATTTCCCGCTTTTTTCTGAATGAAGTTTGAACGCGAAAAGGAGTGGGAGAATGCGAATTTTTTCTCTAATAAATTAAAATGGAAATGACTATAAAAATATAAGTATTAAATATGTCCACAATAGTTGACTTTTTATTAACTCACTCAGTGAAAGAGCATGTTTGAATGTTCAACAACAAAAAACTTACTGGAGTTTTCTGGAAGAATTGTATGCAGTAAAATTTTGCAAACTCAGTAATTTTTGAATCAGCTGTTTTATGACCAATCAAAAAAAAAATTATGTGCAAGATATTCAAGCATTTTAGATTCCAAATAGTGTTGTATAAAAAAAAATTAGAAAATCCAAGAAAAATCGCGAATCAGCACATTATTTGCTGAATCTTACTAAATGTTATCTGTTTACTTTTTTCTTTATTATTGCAAAAAGAGAATAAAAACTGTTTACTCTCTGACGGGGTACGAAGAATGATTAAAATACGCTCTTTCTCATGAATGCTCACGGCGAGAATTCGAATGTTTTTTCAATTTATCGCGAATGATAAAGTTACAATGAATGAACAGCATTTACAATCTCTCGCGAATGATCTCATTGTACGAAAAAATCACGAACGATAAAATTTCGCTGCAAGCGTCGTCGATTCGTTCTTTCGCGAGCATTTGTTGCTGAAGAACATTCTATTGAAAAACTCAAAAAAATGTAATGTTCGCGAATGCTCGCGAGCACTGTTAAAACAACAACAAACAAAATATCATAAAAAAGTAAACACACATACACAACGAATGAATGTGTGTGTGTAGGAGAAAGTGTGTGGAATAATAAAACACGTGTCCAACAACAAGTGGGGTCACGAGCGTTTGTTGTTATTGTTTTGAGCATTCGCGAGAATTCGGGAATGTTTGTTTTCATTCGTGAGAGAATGTCAGAAAGAATTTCAACCACCAAACGAAACGAACGATCGTTGTTGTGTGCTCTCAGTCGTTTGTTATGTGTGTGCGAACATTATTTGGCGAATGCTCGTTTGGTAAAGAATTTATCGCCATAAATTCATTCGTAAACTGAGTACAAAACGAAAAGAATGTATTTTAATTCATTCGCGAGCGAATTTTTGCGCACCCTGCTCTCTGAACTAGATCTTACTGAAAACCAGACACAGCTATTGCCACGGATTGTATAAATGCAATGAGGAATATTGGGACCAAATTTGATGAATTTGGACACGGAATTAAGATATTTTTGTGATAATCTGTCTCTCCAGAGAAACATGTTAAAAACTATGGAAGAACTATAATGAATCCACATCTGTTATTAAATTTATCATCTGCATTATTTGCAGGAGAACGAAATAAAGTTTTACGATAAATTCTCTAAATTGCAAATTTATACTTTTAGAAATTTAAATTAACAATAAAAAATTGAACGTGATAGTTAGCCAAATCAATAAATAAAATATTGAAAAAATTTATAAAACGTATACATTCTTAATGATATGTACATACATACATGATAAAAACTCAAAATAATAAAAAAAAACAAATAAAATTAAACATTAAAAATGTTGAATAATTATGCCATGCTTGTGAATGGTTAACAAAGAACATAGAATAATTTGGAAAACTTTGACCTTAGGTGTGAAATGTGTAGTTAGTTAGTGATGGCCTATCGCAAACCAATTTACAGAATTATCTACATTAGATGAACTTGTTTTTTTGTTTTGTTTAACTCTATTTTGGGAAGATGAGCATGTGGTGGGTGGAGGAGGAGAAATGGAAAGGCGATCGCTCAGAAAACAATTACATATGTTAATGTGTTTTGTTGTTGTTGTTAATAATACATTTCAATAAATCTATATAAGATATTAAAGCTTTCAGATTTCATTATTCTAAAGTAGTATTCTTAAAAATATAGGCCGTTATCTTAATATTTTAAAGAGGTATTTACATGTTTGACAGACATTTTGTTTTTCTTTGCCATCTGACACTGGACCATAAATCAATCGCCATTCTCCGTCTGATGCCTCCTACAAGGTTGCGTCTGAAGTCTTGTTGAGGGATATTCGTTGGTACCACGTCTAAACGAAATACACTTCAAGGCGACACAGTGGCGGTGACTGGCGAATTGTACTCTTCGGTATCAGCGGAAACACGAAACTTCGGCTGTGTGTGTGTGTGTGCATTTAATGTTGTGACCGAGGGAGGGACTGGGGACACTGGGCACTGTGGTCCCTTAATACAATTTTTTAAATGCTATTGGCGTTATTGCGCTCGTTTGTTAGTCGTAAAGCTAATTATATATGTTGTATGTATGTATGTGTTTGGTTTGGTATTTGGTTTAGACAGTTTAGACTAGAATGTAATTGTACGTTTCAATACTGTGAAATTGCTTTAATTTACTGGTTAAAATACTATTAACATAAGAACGGGTTTTTGTGCATTTAACTATTTTTCAAAGTTTGTCTTTATCACGATCGATGCTCATGGCCTTGAAGATGCCACTGCGGCCGATGCCGTACCTCATGTTAAACTGGTCGAGGCTTGAGGCACGGGGTCGGGAGTGTGGTGACATCTGGTCGAGTTCCGTTTCGCTGCATTCCGTTTCAGTATCGCTTAGTTTTCTTCGTCTTCGAAGAAAGCTGCTACCTATTTTGCTGTTGGGCAGGGCTGAGTGTTCGCTGAGGGAGAGTCCGCGTTTTCGTTCCTGCTTCTCCATTTCTGCGGCCAACATCCGAACTTCCCAATCATTGTGGTGTACCTGTTTGTCAGAACTGTCGTTGTCTTCGTTTGCAGCTTCCTCCTCAGCTTCTTCGTCCAAATGTAACTTCTCCTCCGACGAAGATGAACTGGAACTGCTCTCGCCAATATCCAGGATGACACTGTCGCCCAGTCGTGTAAGATTACCGGCCATATTCGCAACCAATTCGACGGGATTTGTGGTCTTGCTTTTGCCATTTTTACTCTTACTGTCATTGCCGGATTTGACATAAGGACCGTAGTCATAGGAGAAATCTTCTCGACTCCGACTGGTGTTTGGCGACGAGGGATAATGTCGTTTGGATTGAGTGGGAGGGGAGGAAGTAAAGACTGTATCCAGCGAATCGCCACGCTGAAATGTTAAAAAATAACAGATATTATATTTTTTGTTTTTGTTAATGGTCCGAACAGCCAACTTACCATAAAGAGTAATTCCGCTGACGAACCCGAACTACTATCGTCCTCAGCATTGGCATCATTTTCGTCGTCCATGTCCGCCGAACATATTGTCCCACTGATTTTCTCGCGATGGTGTTTTCTTCGTGACGTGGACGATGCACTCAATTCCAAAGTTCTGACCTTCGACTGTAGGTGCGCAATCAGGGCATCCCTCTTCTCCACCTCCAAAGCCATGCTTGAGAACTGAGATTCAAACTTTGAATGCATTTCGCTGACATGTTTTCGAATAACATTGTCAATGCCACACAAAATTTGACTGAAACAGTCATGGCCTTCGGCATAACCTAATTATAGAAAGGGATCAAGACACATTCGATATCATTTAAAATAATAAATATTTAGAAAAAAACCGCATGTTCAGTGAGCGTGCTTGATTTTGATACATATTCAGCTACTGATGCTCGGTGTTTTTGTTTTTTTGTTTGTTTTTTCTTTGTGATCGAAAAAAGGCGCATTCGAAAGCTACTTACGCTCGACATAGGGCATTGCATGGCGTTTGTTAGTAAAAGTGCTATTAGGCATTCCAATTATTATTACATATACGCACATATAAAAAATACATACCTCGAAGTTATTCAGAATGTAATGATGCATTTGTCTGATTAACAATTTAAGAAGCCACTAATTGTGTTCGTTTTGCATGAATAAATTGTATATATGTGCGGGTGTGTGTGTGTGTGTTTTAAATTCATTCATGTTATTACCAACTACTGCTGAGGGAAATCGTTCCTTTTACGAAATTTTGAAATGAGTATTTTCGTGTACTACATATTCGGTAAAATTTTGTTTAGGAGAGTATCGTTTGAGAATTGATTTGACAGTTGAATTACTATGAATTTACAATTTCTAATTGGAAAGAAATTTATTCTTTCAAGATTTTCAAGTTACAAAAAAAAATTAAATTTTTATATTTTTACGCATCAAACAACTAAAAAATCCCTCTACTAGAAATATGTCACATTAATTTTGTTTTCTAAAAATGTACTTAAAAGCTGAATACGACATTTCGTGATGCCACTCGAAAGTCGATCTCGAAAAGTCGGCTTAGCGATTTCAACAAACCTATAAGGGGAAATTAAATGAATATATGAAAATAACTCTTCGAGAAGCACAGAGCACTGCATTCCAAAAATAAGAAAAAAAAATAATTTCAGACAAGCTTACACCGGGACTTTTTACAACCTTAAGTTAGTAAAAATATTAAAGGGCAGCAATGATATATAATTAATTAAATAATTAGAATTATAAAAAATTGACGTTCTACGTCATTGTACAATAACATTTAAAAATAAATAATTAAGAATTCACTTTTAAATAGAAGTATTTTAGTGTGTTTTTGGCAAAACATTGTATTAAGAACTATTTGAGCACATTAACATACAAAAACTACTGTGACAAGGTTTTGATCTATAGGGGTTGACTTTGCAACCATTTTAATTTAATTTCAAAACATTTATACCTTTGAGTATCTTAATCACTACTAGATGACCAGATTCCACTTGAAAATCTAAATATCCTCCTCATACACCTCTCCGATTTTTTTTTTGCAATTCCCTATTCCCCAAACTACCTGAGCCTCTTAAAAACTCTAGTTGAGATATACAGTTTAAGTCACGGCGGTCACTTTTTTCTTTTTGTAATATCTGTAAAATTGAAATTGTTGATCTTACAATGTTTTCAAGACAGCATGAACAATAATTTAAATCTGGCATTATTCCAGCAAAGGAACCCATGTATAGAACATTAAGAATAAATTTTATCATGACGTTCGCCCTAAAGCATCATGACGTTCGCCCTATAGCATTAATATTTTTAATTCCGTATTGATATTTATATAAAAATATAATTTCCTGTTTTCCCGGGAAATAATATCGGGAAATCCCGGAAAATATCGATGTCTAAAAAATCGGGAATACCCGGGACGGGAATTCCCGACCCCAAACCCTAGTCGCGACATACATTTATGGTTGATACTTGGACTATTTTAACATTGCGGTGTCCTAGGTAGTCTATTGCCCGGCTCTGCATTAATTTTTAATAACATGAAAGTTTGTTGGAATGACTAAATTTATATACAGTCGACGCATGGTATAATGAATACTCAGTTTAACGAATTCGGGATATAACGAATGAGCAAAATAGTCGACTTTTTATACTGACTATTGCTTATAACAAACGTTTTACAAATTTATATAGCAGATATAACGAATGGTGAAAAAAAATAATGGGCTAGCTTTATAAAAAATATGTAAAAACGTTATTATTACTGTTATTACATTAATTACATATTTTAGAAATCCAATGAAAAGGGGATTAACATTTTTGCTTTTAAATAAAATTGCGCCTTAAAACATAACTTAACGTTAAAAAACTTCGCTATATAACGAATTTTTCGCTATAACGAATGGGTCTGATGATATATCATTCGTTAACAGGCGTTAACTGTATATATATATATATATATTAAACGAGTCAAATTGACTCGGTTCGTATATCTTGTAATAAATTATTACATTGTACTGGTTTTATTAAATCCAGTAGATCCAGTACATATATATCAAAGAAATCCTCATAGCGGAGAATCTAACCGTAATGTAAATGCCGTTTTAATTTCATAGTTATTATTTCTAAGTCTGTACACAGTCGGACAGTTGATAAAGCAGATTTTTTTTTAATTTCATTCTAGTTTATATAGTTGTTTCATTTACCCATTCGTTCACAACATCTGATGCTCAAAATCGTAGGATTCGCTAACAACACCAAACTTAAAATAATATTTCATGCATTGTTCCAAACAGAAGAATCGGGTGAATTTACATTTCTATATAAATATATGTATGTTTGTATGTACACTCGTGTAATTAGTGTTATATACCTACACACACACACTGTAATATGTATGTATGTATGGATTAGTCTAGAATTTGATTGTTATTAGAGTTACTTGACGGCATTCGCATTTAATTTTTAGGCTGTAGCAAAATTTGCATCACATTACTAGAGAGTTGCGGGATTAGTAGATTATCGTTTTATAACATCGAAGTGGTACGGGGACACAGAAGCATTTGTTTGGTATTTGGGTTAGTAGTGTCGAATGCGGGACCAGGGTGGCAACAGAGGGTTCCGGTATTGGGGGTGGATTTGGGAAATGCCAGCAAGTTATAATTACCTGTCAACGATGGAACATGAGTCGGACAAGTGGCGTGATTTGAATCGGTAAGCGGGTAAAAATTTGTGGGATACATGGTTAAGGTGCTACTACTATTCATTTGAAATGTCTGCGAAACGTTGGCTGAGGTACACGATGCAATTGATTCGGCACGTAGAAGATCGGGCGGTGACATCACCGAATCGCCGTAAAATGCACCCGTTGCGGTTGGTGTCAATGGTTGAGGCGAATGCAAAGGTTTTTCGGTGTATGTGGGATCCTCTTGTAGACTGCCAGCATTGCTGGGAGGGCTAGAAAGAGTTGAATTGAATGTTACACTCTTGAACAGTTTACTGTGCCGCGCCACGTACCCTTCGACGGTGGGCTCCGTTGAGAGACCTCTATGTTGCGATTTTGAATCTGTGGACGCATCGCAGCCTGTTCCGGGAGGTGACCTTCGATTTTGACGTTCGTGGCTGAATTTCTTGAGAATGCTTTTCAGTTTTCTCCGCTCGATAGTTTCGTTCGACTCTGGACTGAGGGGGGCATAGTCGTAGTGCACCGAATCCAAGTGATGTTGTCGATGGTACTGCGAGGGCGGCGCACCCTTTGGGGTCTGCGACGCGGATGTATTAGTCGATGTCGTCGAACTGGACTCGTACACTGATAAGAATTGTGAATTTATGCCTGCCGCATCGCTGTGGCAACGGTACAATGCTTCAGATATTGGAACACAGCTGGTTGTTTTGGAACTGTCTAAGCTAAAACTACGCGTTTGTAGGGCGCTCTCCAGCTCGGCCAGTTTTTGCCGTTCGTTTAGTATTTTTAGCCGTTTGACGAACGGCAAGCCGCTGTATTCAGGCGATAAATCGAATACAGATTGATAAAGTTTCGAACTGCTAACTGTCGTGTCACTGTGCCCATTGCTCGTGTTCGTCTGTTTGCTCGATTCGGGTATCCCCGATGCCTGGCCCTTGACATCTTGGCGATAGCCTCTTTTTCTTGCTGGCACTGGTGGAGGTTTCGATTCCTTCTGGGGTCTTCCCTCTTTCGTTATCTGTTGCGGTATATTGCCATCAGAGTAATTTTTCAATGGCGAAAAAATATCATCTGAGGATGTGTTCGAGGTGGCTAAACTTGTGTAACTGGACGAAATCATTGTCGCCAATTTAAGCTTGGACCATGGTCTAATCGGAGTATCTGTATCGGATACAATTGAGGATGTGGCTGTGGACGGTTTAACGATTTGACTTGAGATTATGGAAATTGGTTTGTGCGATGTATTGGACCCGTCACTCTTCCGTTTATCGACCACAGCTGTCTGGGCTTCGACGCACTTGAGAACAGCTAATGATTTTGGAGGTTCCTTCTTGGCGCCGCCATTGAATGCAGCTGTCGTCGTAGTCGGTTTTTCACTCGTCTCCGCGCTTTGGCTTGCCGGCATTTTAGGGCTTCCGCCACTAGAACTCTCGGCAGCCTCTTGCAATTTTTGTATCCTCTGCCTGAAGGACACCTTCATCATCGGCTTGATTTGGGCCACAGCCAGAGACGTAGTGGCCATGACACTGTGACTACTACTTGCAATCGATATGTTTTCTACTTTTTTGGTCGTTTCCGCTACCGATGCGATCTGTGAATTGATGAGTTAGAATGGTGTACACGGCGCTGACATTGTACCACAAATAAATAAGGGATGTGGATGCGAACTTACCGGTAGAGATGTGTCCGTCCCCTGTGCAGCAGCAGGAGGATCGTTTTTGATCTTGAGTTGCTGCAATCGTTGAATCAATGGCAAACCTTCGTTGATCTCCCGCTCGGGCTCCTCCTGTATCGATTCCTGTGGTGATAACGTACAGGTTACATGTGAGTTAGGTGGAGATTTCTGTGGTGGTGTAGATTTAACAGCTCGCTCTTCGCGATCCTAGTGCAAGACACATAAAGACACATACAAAACTACTTTAGGAGCGGGGATTGACACTCAGTAACTCAGTTTGTGGGTTTGCAGTGTATTTGTCAAAAATAAAAAAACCAAAATTAAATCTCAAAAAAGCGAAGAAAAAAGAAACGAAAATATAAATTCCATTTTAACATTCGAATGAAACACTCCAGACACAGCAATAATGAAAAGAAGAGGACAAACTAAACTAAATTAACAGATATAAAAACACAATACAATTACAAATGAATGTGTGTGTGTGTGGGTGCATGTATGTGTGAAGTGTTTGTGTGAAAATTAATGGAGTCGATACATCATTTATTGCTCCCAATTGTACCCATAGAAGAACGAATATATGAGCAATATATTATGGCATTGTTTGGTTTCCCAAAAAAACAAAATCTGACATCGGAATTGGGAAGGACGACAGGGGCTTCAAGTGTTTCTGTTTTCGCAATGTATTATTGTATTATGAAAGTAGAAGATGCAATTGGCCAAAGAGATTGTTTCATTTTATAGCTCTAGAATAAGTTATAAATATCGTCCAAATTATCATTTAAACATTTTAAATGTTGTAGTTGTTGTTGTAAACCTTAATGTATTCAGTTTCACTATAGAAACATATACGAGAAAAAGCATGACAATTGCTCTCGTTTTTTGCAGAAAATATATGCTTACTATAGAGTGAAAATATACAATAATGTGATGACAATTTTTAAAGATCACTAGAATTCTATGATTGCAGAAAAAAATACTTATATGTGCAATATTGCCAATTCCTAATTGCACATTGAAACTAGAAGGAAAAATCAAAAATACTCCAAATCGAGCTTCAAAATGTCTGCATCGAAGCCCGTAAAATAGATGGCTAAGTCACAAATCAAAAAAAGGATAAAAAATGCTAGACCAAAGTACCTATATATCTTTCGATTTGCACGAAATTTAGCATAGCGTACTAAATTAAGTTTAGAGTGTGCGCGTTAAATTTCCTGAAAATCGGTTCAGATTTAGATATAGATCCCATATATATATTTTCGTCCGATTTTAGGTAAATGGTGCACCAAACCCTCCATATATCTTACGATTTACACGAAATTTGGCAAATGGTGCATCAAATTCCATATATATCCTTCGATTTGGACGAGATTTGGCATAGCGTACTGAATTGAGTCTAGTATGGTGAATGGTATGTTTCGGGAAAATCGGTTCAGATTTCGATATAGCTCCCATATATATTTTCGTCCGATTTTATGTAAATGGTTCACCAAAGTCCCTATATATCCTTCGATTTGCACGAAATTTGGCATAGGGCACTGAAATGAGTATAGAATGATGTGTGGTAAATTTCGGGAAAATCGTTTCGTCCAATTTAACATAAATGGTGCACCAAACTCCTGATGAGTATCCGATTAACACGAAATTTTGCACAATGCTTAAATTTGTCCCATGGTATGCAGACGGATCTAAATCTGCACTTTTGAAATTGAGTATGTTCTTAGAGGGAACATTGACATGCAATTGTAAGGATACGTATGTAGAATATACCGAAAGAGGTGAAGGGTATCATATAATCGGCCCAGTCCAACTTTACTACTTTCCTTACTGGTTTTACATTAAAGTAGACACAGCTTCCACGGAACCTAATTTTGGATGTCAATATCATGAACAGTTTGCAACTACAGATCAATAAATCCAAGGCTATTCAATTCGCAATATTGCCCAAAATGATCAATATGAGTCAATTTTTTGGATAGCCCCCATATAACGTTAACCCCAAACTTAAAATTTTCACCGAACCTAGTTTTAGTATTGGTTTACAGAGCATAAATTTACATACTTTATTTTTTAACAAACAAGTCCTATGATGGATGAATAATTTTATGCAATTTATTATCGCTTTATCCAATGGTGGTAGAATCCCAAAAAGGACCAAAAATTATGAGTCGAAAAAATCTTGACTTAGACTAATTTCTTACTTCCTGACCATTTAAGGTTGAATGTGTAATTATCTAATTATCATATGCACATTTACAATAATTTAATTCATAATATATATATATATATATATATATTTTAAGGTTAAGATAGAGTGAGTCAAAGTCAAAGGTATCCACTCGGGTTTTTTCTCTGTTAATTAATGTATAAAATTGAATTATTTTTTATATGAGATAAAATAGCCAATATTTATATCAATTCAATGTGAAAATAATGTTTGGTAGACAAAAACAATTTTAGATTCACAGTGAAAATTATCCACCGGTATTATTTGTAACTTAATAACGGTTAAAAGTCAATCTTCTCATGGAATATTAAGTTAAATATTGCATCAGATTTTTTTACACTTTAATCTCAACGGAAAATAGCGGAAATACTCAATATTACTCGATATGATGACCAAAAAATTGTATTGGAGCACAATATCGAGAATCGAATTAGCAACTAGCCGAAAGCCAGAGAGAAAAAGGCCGATAATCCAAAGTTAAGTACATCTAAACTTGCTGAAATCGCACAGAAAATTTCTGAAAAATAAATGTAACCTAGAAACAATTTAAAGAATTATGCGCAAGCCTGGTCTTTATGGTAGAGTTGCACGGAAAAATACATTCATAAACCTTATAAACCAGAAAATACGATTGGAGTTCGTTCAGGAACACGAAAAAAATGATTTAGCATTTTGGAAATCTGTTATTTTTGTTGATGAATGTAAGTTTAAATAGTTTGGGTCGGATGGGCCAAGGATAATTTAGTGGAACCTAATCACACAATTCAGACCTAAAGCACGGAGGAGACTCTGTAATGGTATGGGGATGTATGAACGCTGCCGGAGTAGAAAATCTCGTTTTTATTGAAGGAATTATGGAAAAGATCTATTATTTAAACATTCTAAAAGATAATTTGAAATGTAGTGCTGAAAAATTGGAATTTAATTTTATCAATATAATGATCCCACAAACAAGTCCCACATCATTTGAGAATAGATGCTTTATAATTATCCAAAAGTGATTCAAACACCATCTCAGTTCCCGGATTTGAATCCTATAACGAACTTATGGAGTATTTTTATGAGAAAAATATTAGAAGCCATCAAATCCAAAGCATACCAAGCCTGATAATTTAGACATCGTAAACTTGGCAAAATCTGTGCCGGCAAGGTTGAAAGCTGTAAAAGGTAACAAGGGATATCATTCCAAGTATACTCTAAATTATTTGTTGAAAATTCCAATTAAAATCACTGTGATTATACCCTACACAACTATGTTGTCAGGGTATTATAGCTTTGTGCAGCCCCAAAAGTTTGTAACGCCGCGAAATATTGGTCGTAGACGCACCTTTAAGTATACCGATCGTCATATCTCGACTAGCTGAGTCGATCTAGACATGTGTGTGTCCGTCCGTCTGTCCATTATAATTTGTAAACACGATACAGGCCACAGTTATGGACCAATCTTCACGAAATTTTGCATGTAGGATGGGTTCTGGCCAATGAAGACCCCTATTGTTTTTGGGAAAGATCGGTTAATATTTAGGGCATGAAATGGACCAATTACTAAATTTTTGTCGGTTTTTCTGGTCGCTCCACAGGCCGCAATAATGGCCCGAACATCGTGAAATTTTGCATGGAGAAGGGGGTCGGGCCAAAGAATAAGCATGCCTGTTTTGATAAAGATCGGTCAATATTTAGCGGGTCAAATGGACCCTGACTTTTGTGTGAAAAATGACAAAATTTGTATTCTATAGCGTATATATTTACCCCTGAAGGACATAGACCCGAAAAGTTGATATTATATCCAAGAGGAGTGGTTGACCTTTAAGTTAAGACCAATTATATTGTTGCATGTGCTCTGATGTGGGAGTTACACCTAAATATTTACAGGTATCTCCGTATTTGTATGTTATTTAGTAACCCATTATCACTCTAGAGAGCCGAACATAGCGCTGATCGCTTTGAAATGTTTCATGAGGTTCCAGTTATGGTCAAAGACAACCCCTTTAATTTGCGGTGATGATCAGATAATAATTTTGGAATGAAGTGGACGGAAAACCTAATTTTTATACCCTACACAACTATGTTGTCAGGGTATTATAGCCCCAAAAGTTTGTAACGCCGCGAAATATTGGTCCTAGACCCACCTTTAAGTATACAGAGTCATATCTCGACTAGCTGAGTCGAGGATGAGGATGCCAATATCAAGAAATATTGCCCAGGCTTGGAATAAACATCCGCAGAAAATTTGAGTTCCGTGGTAGTTGTGTAGGGTATCGTATGGTCGGCCCCGTCCGACTATACTGCTCCGCTCACTGGTTATTTTTTTCTGTACTTTCTTGAAAGTGCGTAATATTCAACAAAATATTGTGTAATTTGTATAAATGCTTAATTTCAAGCAGAAATAATATCAAAAGGCATTGTTTCAACAGAATATGCTTAAAATTAAACACATAATGTAGCAAAGACACGATTTTAAAACAAATAGTGTGTAGGATTCAAGAAGAAGAACAACAAAACCCATAATCAAGAGGTGACGCTTAGTTCTTTGTGTTGTTTTGAAGTAAACAGAAGCAATTATTTACGTGGAAACTTAGTGTATTTTAATCCATTAAAAAGGAAAAAACAAAAAATTAAAAAGAATGTATATTTGTGAAAAGATGTTTGAAAATATTGATATGCATTTTCATATCCTTTAAAGCCAAACCACCACAAAAAAATTGCATCAATCTGAATTGGAGGCGGCAATGAAATTGATGTACAGCTGTTTTGCCACGCAGAGGGCATTCTTCAATGATGCCAAACATATTCCTACTCTCAAGGACATTTTAGAGAACTGGCCTATGATATTTCACAAGCTCTGTCTATTTCATTATATCAACAGCGTATTTCATTTAATGCAACTACAAATTACGCATAAATGTGCTTACTTTTGTGGAAAATTTTAAACACTTTCTGCGTAAAATCTTACAACAACAAAGCTGTTGAAAATTACTACTTTTTGTGCGGCATCTTATTGCCTATCATTATCAATGTGATTTAAACAAAAAAAAATAAAAAAAATAGAGTGTACTATGTAAAAAATCCGTTTGTTAATAAAAACTTTTATCTTGGATACATTTCACTACAATTGCTTTTGTTTAACAATTATATTTTTTATATTGAATTCGTTGATTGCACTTGTGCACGTATGACATTTTTTTTTATAAAAAACTATGTGGATACTTTTGACTGTGACCCACTGTATCTTCCTATCTAAAATATGGTCGTATTCAAATTGATATGCTAATTATAATAATCCGGCTTAATTTCAATATTTTTTCAAAGTACAAATTAATTTAGAAAAAATAAAATTAAAAAATCTTTTCCATTTATACAATACCGTCGGTTTGGGAATATTGACAAAAATTAGATGCGTGTGTGAATAATTTAAGCCAGTGGAGTACAGAATTTTGAATTTCAATCATTTGCGGTGACAAGTCAGATAAGAAAGTGCAGTAGAAAAGGTAACAAGTTTGTGCGAAATTTAATTTGAACGGAATTATCTTGATACGTATCAGTGCGTTGTATTCTCTATTATTTGTGATTTGAGGCTGGTGAAATGAGATAAATGGCAATTAATTTTGTTTGTATAATTTATCGAATTAAGTTTGTTTGGGTATATGTGCAGAAATTCGGTTGGACACAACTCAATTACTTTAGCAATTACAATTAAAATATTGTGGAATCTGTCGTGATGACCACAATGAAGCTGAAATTTATAACGATAAGAAATGAATACTTTCAGAACTATGTTGACAATATTCTCTTTTACCAGTTTTACTATTAGAAAAGTTAAAAATAAAACTAAAATTTTAACTAACCAGAATTAGTCTTAGAATATTTGTATACGTTTTGTGGGTCTTAGTCGAAGTACTAGTATTGGTATTTGACCCGAAAATTGTAATTTTGTTATACTTTGTTCTATACATGATTAATCGCACATGCTACATATAATTGTATTTTCTAAGTTTGATTTTGGAGTGTAACCCAAATATGTCGACTGTGCAACAAACAATTTGTTTATTTGCCGATTTGAATTACATTTCGATCTCTATGTCATATTCGAATAGGGAATATATACATTTATTCTCAAAGTCGATGCCAAATGAGGCGTCTAATCTAAAAAGCTCAATTCTGCAGCATTGCTAAAAACTATTTGTATACCTAGACCTAAGCTAATAAAACAAATATTGATGACTTTTGGAAGGCGTTCGTTTGACAATCGAAACCATTATGGATTGTCCATTTTCTAAGTGCGTATTTCGAATTGGGCATTGTTCGAATTAGTGTCAGTCTCAATGTATTAACGAACAACAAATGTGTCATTTTTATCATCATCATCAACTATTGTGTCAGATGCTGACGTAATACATACAATTAATGAAAATAATGATTACCAGCAACTGAATGTGGGGTTGCAAACCAAAAACAAAAAAAAATATATTCAAGAAATAGAAAAAAAGAAATACAAATTTTTACAAACACACAAGCGGGACGCGTACATACCTGTTTCTCTTTGAGTAAGCGCAGTCTTTGCAACAGGGGTAGCCCGGCCCCAATAGGACTAGGAGTTTTATCGTGTAATTCGGCCTTTACATCTGCTGATTCTTCCTTCTCATCGGAACGCACACGGGACATTCGTTTCAACACGGTTTTCCCGTTTTTGGGAGATGTGTTGTGCAACGGCTGCATTTCCAGTGATTCATCACTCCTTCGTGATGTCCTTAAAAACAAAATCAGAAAATTGAATGTGTCAATGTCTTATGCTCGGATATGGGAATTGCTCTTAAACATTTACTGTGGTACGCATAACCCTATATTGTTTAGTGGAATTTTGCCCAGACATTTTCACACATCTATTATTTTTTTTATATACTCACTTATCAATTTGACAAATGTGTATGCTACAAAGACAAGTGTCAAGTACATATAAAATCAATAATTGATTGTGAATTTATTGAAAAAAAATGCACAAATTGAAAAAAATAAGTTATTTATATTTGCTCTATTCCAGAACCTTCATGAACCCAACATGGTGCAATCAGAAAGTAAAGTTTAGAAATATTTGCACAAAAATATGTTCTGTTCCTGTGCATTTTAATAGTAATGCTAGTGTTTAAATATTTCAAAATCACTCTCAGAGCACAAAATTTTACGACAAGTTCTGAAACGGAAAACTAGTAAAAACATCAAAAGTATAAGGTAATCCATAAAGTCAACAGGATGGCCAATCATAAGTTGGCATTCCTGATTGATATAATATTATCCAATGAAATATCTAAAATTCAATTATTTGTAATATGCTGTTCCGCAGTGTAATGTGGGGTATAAACACTCACGCACAAAATTATTTACCCGAACAGTTTATAAATTTAGTTTGTTTCTAAGTATGTACCAAAATTACGAATTTATCGTTACCTTGTTTTTTTAAGTACACTTCGGAATCCTTTAACATCATGTCTCAATTTATCGACAATCTTCTTTGAGGCACTGTTTTCACTACTATCACTGTGATTAACATGGTGGCTATGGTGATGGTGGTGTCCTTGATGATTTGCAGCATCCTTATCCGCCTTAGCCTTGGCGTGTTTCTTATTCACACATCTGACCTCCATCAAACGTTTTCTTCCCAGTGTTTGAAGTATTTCTTGGGCTTCTGGGTAGTCCTTCATAGCGGCCAATACATCTTCGCGCGAAAGGGAAAAAAGTTCAGAGTAACCAACCGAACGGACATCAGCAGTTCGTCTGAAATAATACGAGACAACGTCCTCTTAACTATATTCAAGAATATATTTTCCAATTTGTGTTAACCTACTTGTTGAGACCATCCAAGTTTAATATTCCTATTTCGCCAAAAAAGTCGCCCGCCTTCATGGTGGTCAACACTTTGCCGGTTTCGCTTAACACTTCCAAGATGCCATCGGCAATTATGAACATTTCCCTAGCCACTTCGCCTTTGCGACATATTGAATCGCCTGGGGTGAAAATATACGCCTTCATTTTCAGCACTAAATCGTGCAGGAATTCCGGTTGGCATTCTTGAAAAATTGTGACTTTCTTTAAAACGCTCAAATTGACGTGCAGCGCTAATTCCGTCTTCAGTTTGTCGGGCAAAAGTCCTAAGGCAGTATTAATATCACCACCTCCTTGTATGCGGCCTCTGGACCAGCTGTAATCGTACCAACGTAAAACTCGTCGTTTCATACCTCCGGGTACCTAAAAGAATGTAACAATCGCAGAATGTCAATAAGTTTTTATTTAGGATGGGCGATCGACGTTACCATACCTTGTGGTGTCTCATGTAGGTTTTTGCGCCGTCCAGTAGCCTCTCAAATTCCAGGCGATTTGCGTTCCGATTGGTAATCACATTGCCAACTTGACCAACAATGGTAGCAAAAATGAAGACGCCAATTAAGTAGCTGACAATCGTGAAAACGTATCTGCAATTTAAACCGAAATTTATGAGATGTGCTAGATATTTACATTCTATGGTGGAGTTCATCAAAGTTTTCGAAAACAAGGATGACTTCATTTTTGAAGGATTTTAGGAAAGAACATACTCCTTGAAATGAATACCACAATGAACTGTTGAAGGCTGTCCAAAATTTTCGAAAACTTTGATTCCATCTCGAACGTTGCTACTACGACAAAATCATAGGATTAAGGAAAGCTAACAAAAAAAAATTCAAATCAGTGTGCGGATTATGCATTTGTATTGCCTTTATTTACTATTGGCGGACAGCCCTCAACGTGTTTTGTCGATATTTATTCCAGAGAGTTTTCTTTTCAGTGATGTAACTTTCAATGCATACCCATAACTTGAACCGAACTGAAGTAGTCGGGATTTGATGCCACGCCTGGGGATCGATCTTGGGCCGTCCACCGAGAAATTTGGTCTTTAGTTGTGTTCAAAAAATATTACATACAAATAGTTTTGGCAATTAGTTAAAATATTATAAATCAACGATAAGTTGATGTACAAACATATGTAAATCATCAGGAACTAAATATAAAATGTACGAATGTGTGAAAACATAGCGAAAAATTACACACGAAACTCAAGGTCCCATTATTATTGACCCATCATCATCTACGAAATATTAATGTTTATTTCCTGTACACAGAAAATTTACACATTTCATGATTTTTAAAAAGAATTTACTTATTTTGAACAATTTTACAACCATTTGGGCTCATTAACACTATATTACGGATGTCGGAATATTGGTTTTGAGAGTTGCCTGTCTTCCCCGAACACTCTCTCATTTGTTCTCGATTATGAGCCAATTTTGCTCATAGAATGGTGTGAAAGTCAGTCGCTGGCATTTATTGACTCTTTCAAACCTATGCAACATTCAAGTAGCACTTGAGCTGGGAACCTATGAAGTAGATATAAGGAACAAAGTCGAAAATACTCCCACTCCAAAAAAGCCAATGGTGCAGAGAAGTATTCCCAGGGTCATCAAAAATAAACAGACAATTGAGCTTTTTTTCTCACTTGGTATATAATGATGTGATGCTAAACTATTGTTTATTTAAACTATTGCTACAGACATCAGTTTTGGCTGCATATAATTCGCATATACCTTTTCCAAATAAATTCGATATAAAAAATTTTAGTAAACGATTGGATTGTTCTAATTTGACATAACTCAAAAACAAACCATAGCAGAAAACATAAATTATAGGAACACAATAGGAAAACCGACAATATCACTGTGCCCAGAAAAAACCAACTTTATGAATTTTTTCTGTGTCCCAACAAAATCAAAATCGTGTTATTATACTCGCCAAGATTTTTCATACCCACAATGGATTTTCCACCAATTCATGCATTAGCATTAAAAAACTTACTCAGCATTGGTCTCCGGTGTTGGCAAATCACCAATTGTGGTCAGTGTTAGCGTCGACCAGTATAAACTTCCCAAGTATTTTCGAGTTAATGTCGCATAATCTCCTGGACGGTATGGATAAACCCAATCTCCCTAAAACAATAAATAGTTACAATGCAATCCACGCTAAAACTAATGTCAATTGGTCTTACCTGAAAACCTTCTGCTTCTGATAATAAATAATAGAAACACCCGAACCAATGGGCCAATATTAATAGAATATGAATTAGATTAACAACGCGCCATAAATTTGGCCAAACAGTTCTACTTTCAACAATATAATAAAAACGAACAGATCTATAAACCTACAAAACAGACATCAGGGTTAAGTTAGTTGCGTTTGCAGGACGGCGCTCACCACTAACATACCTTAAAGAAACGAGTAAAACGTAACAGGGGCTGAGGACCCATACGAAGTTGCAACAAGTCAAATGGCACCAACGATATCATATCCAGTACAAAGTTTTTTGAATGTATATAATGGCTAGCCAACTTCTTATCATCGTAAACCTGAAGGCAGAAAAAAGACATTGACGTTGCCGTAAAACGAAGTTGGACATGACTTACCATGAGACCTTGTTCCAAATAGCCGGTTCGCAATTGTACAACAATGTCAAGAACGAATACCACATCTGTTAAGGTATCGCAAATAAACCAGAATGTTGGAACCGCTTGCTGTCAAATACGAAGAATTGAAATGTTTATTTTTTTTGAAAATACAGACAATTATTTATATTCTGGGACGTACCTGTAACTCGGGAAAGCTCTGACGAACAATAAGTGTCCAAAGGTTGTACAGAACGCATATTGTTAGCACCATCAGCCAGTAGAAATGAAAATTTTCATCGGGATTAACAACGGAACGCCGCTTTTGAAGGTAACGTCTACGCCTTTTAACAGTTTTATCAACATCCCCAGAGGCACTTTCTGATCCTGTGTCTTCGACGGTTTCCTATAAAAGATTTTTAAAGATATTTTCGGAATGTTAATGATTCGGCTTGAAAACTTTTAGGCGTACATCTTCATCTGTAGTCATTGTACAAGTTTTTTACCTTTCTAGCAAAAAATATATATTGTATTACTATAGAAGATAATAAAACCATAAACATGTTTTAGAAAAGTGGAAATGGAAATTTCAACTGATGGGATGTAACTAGTCCCAGCACTATAAACCGTACTAATTGACTACCTTTTTATCCTATAGTAAGCGACTGAGTATAGTCACTTGCGATATTAAAGAAAAAAATCAGTTTTTTGAATCAAAATAGAAGAAGAAAATATTTAAACATTCTCTCCGAACAGCCACAAAAACTACATTCTTATGTTACTAAGTTATAAACCATACCAGTTACAAATTTGAGCTTAATGTAATATAAACCGAACCAAATGACTACTATTTTATCATGTAGTAAACGAGAAGGAGTCACATGCGATATTATAGAAAGAAACAAAAATCCGTCATTCTCAATAAATGCAAGTCGAATTTTGTTGGGAAATAACCAGACTATTTGCGATCCTCATAATGACCAGTGGCATCAAATCGTAAAACATTGAAAAAAAACGGCAATTTAAAATAAAGATTGGTTTTAAAACTAAAATGGAAGGATATATAGGTAAGCACTTCTATATAATGTTATAATTTATTTTATCTTTTTTTATGTGAACATGAACATCTTAACTTAAAATTAATGCAATAACATGAACAATATGTATGTGAATTCAATATAAAAAATAATGATTTCATCCTTATCGGCATAGATTATACCACGTTTTCCGTGTAAGATGTCTGAATTTTTCCCCATTCTACTTGTAAAGCATTTTCAGACATGGTAAGCTTCCTGAACGAATTCCAATTGGATTTTTCGGTTTATAGGGTTTATGAAGGGCTTTTTCGGTACATCTCTATCATGCTTGCGCAAAATTCTAAGATTTGTTTCTGGGTTATATTTATTTACCAGATATTTCTGTGCGATTTCAGCAAGAAAATTTCCTTTCTGTAATTTAATACCAATGGTACGAAGTACGAATAATGGTGTTATAGTACGAATTTGTAATATAATATTTTGCACAGAGTATCATTTATTATACAGAGAACAGCTTTTATAGGGAAAATTTCCATTAAAACTGCAGAAATTAAGGATTTATGGTGCGTTACGTGCTACAAAATCCATATTGGAAAAAAAATTGTCGTTATTTTTTCTATATCCTCGACATAAAGATCCCGTTCATTTTTCATTACATCGAAAGTCGCTGCTTGTTTTTTTTTTCGAACGTTCCCACGCCTCACTTTCCCACCCCTGCCGACCGAGGGGGCGACCTCCCCTTTCGTAGGGATCGCGTACACACCATAATCCGCATCATGGTGGAATGTGAGAAGGGAATAGAAAACCAGCTAGAAAATCTACTCCAACAGCCAGTTTATTATTAAGTTGCACTATTCATTTAAAAATACAACTATATTAGATTTTATAAATTCAACATTCTTGCTAAAATCTACATTAGAGTACACAGAATTAAAATCAATACAAATTTTAATGAGTGGATCTCCCATAGAATAATTTGTGCGATGAAAATCTACATGTAATAGTTGATAATATCTACTAGATCGAAAAGGAACATTTATTCTAATAGATGAAATTAGGAAATCAGAGGGTATATTACCATTTAATATTTTTAGTACCATCATAGTGTTCAACATAACACTTAATGTAGGTAACCGAATTAATTTTAACCTGCTAGTGTAAGAAGGCAACACAAAATGCAGTTTAATATATTTCCCGTTTGGTTGGATTCATCATTGGAAATAAATCTCATTTGCATTTAAAAGTGCCAACAATTTAGTACTTGTGGTGTTCAGCGGCTTGTTTGCATAGTTTCACTTATTTGTATGTAAAGTCTCGTCACATGTTATATATTAATTAATATAGCGGCACGTAGGATGTTTCAGACAAGGTGACAGAAATGTACACCAAACAACACATGTTACTCGCCTACGTCGATGACATTGATATAAAAGGTCGAACATTGCAAACGGTAACAGCTACCTTTGAACAAATTGAGAAGGATTCTGCCAAAGTGGCTCTGGCAGTAAATGGCGAAACGACCAAGCTGATGGTATCAACGCGCAAGACGTCCAATAGATTTGGACCAACTGTGGAACTTGAGAACTACAGCTTCGAGTTAGTTAAAGATTTTATATATCTTGGTACCGCCACAAATAAAACTAATGACATCAGTTTGGAAATTCGGAGAAGGATAGTGATGGTCAACAGATGCTACTATGATCTATGTAAGTAATAGCTTAAGCTACATACCAAATTTCACATATGTTTCTCCACCGATTCTATTCAAATATATTGTTTAGTACTTTTTAGTACCTCTTAGTACTAAATTCCAAAATTTGTTCATACATTTCACTTCGCTCGTCATAGACAAAGTTACGAACCAAATTTCAAAGTTCTTCTTCTAACTGCTCCGGCGTAAAGCAGTTTTTAGTACTTTTTAGTACGAATTTCCAAAAACCCAGCCTTATCATACGCCTACTCACCAAACCCGACCTACATGCCAAATTTCAAGTTTCTAGCTTAAGCCGTTTCTTAATTTCTAGTGAAAATATATAATATTGAATGTTTAATTACAGATCAAGGTCATAACAACTATTATAAATCGTGAAGGAATGGACCTGGAAATTATGGAAAAAGTAATATCATCAGTATTTATTTTCAGATTCAAAACTGTAACCGAAGGAACTGACATGACTACAATTTAATTGCAAATAAATATAAAAGTATGTATGTATTTATATGTAATTTAAAAGTTAGTTTTTAGTTTGGGGATATTCTCCCCAGAAGCTATAAATAGCTTCGTTACAAAAAAACCTGTTATACCCAAATGTCTGTTGTAAGAAAGCGAAGTACTTTGCATGGGAATTTCACTGGTGCCTCACTTTAAGGTTTACAAATGTCTTGTTAACATCGAAGTTTTTGGTACATTCAGCTTTCAAAATTTAAATCAAAATACCTTCCTTCGAAATGTATGCACTATTAATATTTGAAGTTCCCCGCTTTAAAACCTATAAATATAAGTTGTAAGAACTGGAGTTAAATTTTGAGAATAATGTGCAGCTTCAGAAAATTAAACAATTAAAAATGAAGTACAATTTTATTTTTTTCTAATATATGGAATTTATTTTTCATTTTATTTGAAATTGATATATGTGTTACTAATTAAAAATAAGTTTCATTATTAACTTCTCAAATGGGATTACTTTCCATAATTATGCCATTAATATAATGAACAACATTATTCAATATTACACTAAGTTATACTTGCAACCAATTTTTTCTTTTGTGTGTCCCTGTTCTGTCAAAATAATTACTCAATTTGGAAATGTGTATGTAATGTGTTGAAAAATATTAACAAATTTTTATTTTTATTATCAAATTCAGATGTAATTAAAATCCAACATTATCGCTCACAGAGGAAAATCATTCGGAGTATTGGAAAGAATTCTTATTATAATCATATTTGGAGCACATATTGTGAAAAAAACATGGCATTCCATTCACTTTTCGCGATATTTTCCGTATTTAATAACATTGTAAAATATGTCAAATAAACAAAACAACCTGTTGAATGTGTAAATATGACACTATAAGACATTACACTAGACTACTTTTTTTGTTATATTTGTGGCATCTCCGTTACCGCCGTTAACAAACAATACGAGAGATGGCAACTCTGACAAGAGACAACAAAGAAGAAAGCAAAAGTTAGTTGCTCGCGAAATCTTCAACACCACAGTTGTGGCAAATCGACATCATTGAAATTGAACTCCTATTAATTGTCTTTTGAACTAATATTAAATAAAATAGTTATTAATGGTTGTTATTATAACCGCTGTGTTTTAATTCATCAACAACCCAATAAACTATAGTGGTGACCCCGTCTATGGACAAACAAAAACAAAATTTGCAACAAACAAATTGCGGCAACATTCGTGAAATTTCACAACGCAGCCGTACACACGCAACCCACTATACGAACGTGCATGCTCAATTTTGATCAACATCAATTTCAACGGTCATTGCGTTTCTCAGAATCAGCCTACTAGAGCACCACCAAACAAACGTGCATGCTCAATTTTGATCAACCTCAATTTCAACGGTCATTTCGTTCCTCAGAACCAGACTACTAGAACATTTTTGCAAACTTATGATTGAAGCAACTCGCAAACTGAGACAACGTATTCCAGTCAACTATAAAGAACCTGACTCCCACAGTAGTGAAGAAGACGCTGAATTCTTCGAAAGCAGTAACGTCGTAACAGACAATAATATGTCCGAAGAATTGCAACGACAGATTCAAGAACTTCAAGAACAACTGGCCGCGCTAAGTAGTACACCTCGACATGAGGACACACGACCAAATCTACAAAAGGTGCACATTCCTAAGTTCAACGAACGGAACCCACATTTATGGTTTGCACAAGTTGAACGTTCATTTGCTTTGTGCAGCATAACATCGGATAACGACAAATTCGACCTAGTGAGTGTCCGTCTTGAAGACGAAGTATTGCTGGCAGTTGAAGACCTTATTACAAATCCACCGAACTCAAACAAATATTCTGCAATTAAGGACAGAATTATTTCCAAATTTGCCGAATCTCCCGAATCAAAACTGCGACGTTTAATACAAGGTGGTGAAACAAACGGCATGAAGCCAACGTCAATTTTGGCACACATGAAACGACTTGCACCAGGGAAAGGAAATGAGGCAATAATCCGAACACTGTTTCTTGGACAAATGCCTGAAAACATGAGACCTTTTCTTACCGCCTGGGAGGAAGAAGACCTCGAAAAATTGGCGAAGACCGCTGATAAAATGTTTGAAGCCAACAACAACAATTGTGTTAATTCTCTTTCTACATTGCAACAACCAGTTGTTGATGCCATTAACCAACGAATGTCTTTCACCGATATATGCCAAACAATAAGGGAACTTACGGAGAAAGTCGACAAAATTCAACAACAAATTGGTAAGAACACACGACATCGTTCCAAATCCCGAAATCGTTCAACAAGTGGACAGAATTCAATCCAGCGGAATTTATGCTACTTCCATCAAAAATTTGGCGACAACGCAAGAAAATGTAAACCTGATTGTGCAAAATTCCAGCCGGAAAACTAACTCGGCTGTCGTCAGTCAAATCGGTTGGCGACAGCAGCAACAACACATGTGAAAGACGTCTACATCTTTACGACATATCAACAAATACCCGATTTCTCATAGATTCTGGATCGGCGGTATCAGTTATACCTCCTTCTATGATAAAGCAGAAACTCAAGCCATCCAAACTTGCGCTTTTGGCTGCTAACCAAAGCGAAATCAAAACTTTTGGTGATTGTGTATTGAAACTTGACCTCGGACTTCGACGAGAATTCAAATGGTTGTTTGTTATAGCTGAAGTACACACCCCAATAATAGGTGCCGATTTTCTAGTCAATTTTGATTTACTTATTGATCTCAAACAAAAACGTCTCATTGACAACAAAACCAAATTATCCACTCGTGGTAACATTTTACAAACCAAAGAGTTTGGAATTTCGACATTGAATTCCGCATCACCCTTCGCAGACCTGCTAAAGGAGTTTGAAGACATTACAAAAACGACAACGCTTCGGAAGCCAACAGATGAATTGGTCGTCGTTCATCACATCGAAACAACAGGAACTCCAGTTGCTGATCGTCCACGCCGTCTTTCAGGTGATAAATTAAAAGCAGCTAAAGCCGAAATGGATTATCTAGTCGAACAAGGTATTTGTCGTCCGTCAAAAAGTGCTTGGAGTAGTCCTATACATATGGTCGCGAAGAAAACTGGTGGTTGGCGCGTCTGCGGCGACTATCGTAAACTCAACTCACAAACAGTCCCAGACCGATACCCCGTGGCACACATTCACGATTTTTCTGAAAACCTTTATGGTAAGTCAATTTTTACTACCCTTGACCTTACCCGGGCCTATTACCAAATACCAATGGCTGAAGAAGACATCGCAAAAACAGCAGTATGTACACCGTTCGGACTTCTAGAATTTTTGTACATGCCTTTTGGTTTAAGGAACGCCACACAAACTTTCCAACGTTTCATAGACAACGTGTTTAGAGGGATTGACTTCGTTTTTTGTTATATTGATGACATCATCATTATGTCAGAATCGCCACAACAACATCGAGAACATCTTCGTACAGTCTTCGAAATTTTACGCCGATATGGACTCACCATTAATCCGAACAAATGTCATTTTGGTGTACCTGAGGTGAGATTTCTTGGCTACGTAATTAACGCACATGGTTGTTCTCCGCCTACAGATCGTATTGAGGCTATCAAAAATTACAAGAAACCAGAAACTATCTGCGAACTTCGTCGTTTTATTGGCGTCATAAACTACTACAGACGTTGTATACCCCACGCAGCACATCAACAAGCACCCTTAAACGAACTCGTTGGGAATTCCAAGAAAAACGACAAACGCAAAGTACCTTGGACACCGGAATTAGAAACCGCTTTTGAGACCTGCAAACAAAGTCTTTGTGAAGCCACAATGCTTGCACATCCAGCTCCAGACCTAGAACTAGCATTGGTAACGGATGCATCAGACACTGCCGTCGGTGCTGTTTTAGAACAAAACTTCAACGGTATATGGAGACCTCTGGGATTTTACTCGAGTAAGTTACTAAAATCCGAAAGAGCGTACAGCACATACGATCGAGAATTGCTCGCCATTTACAAAGCAGTGGAATATTTTCGACACATGCTGGAAGCACGACATTTCGTCATCAAAACCGATCATAAACCGCTCATATATGCATTTTCTCAACGACCTGAGAAAGCATCGCCCAGACAACTCCGAAATTTAGATTTTATATCTCAGTTCACTACAGATATAGTATATCTTTCTGGACCTAGTAATACAGTTGCAGATGCATTTTCAAGACTCAACGAAATCTCAATGCCGTCAAGTGTCTCACACGAAGACATTCAAAAATCTCAAGAATCCGACGAAGAGTTAAAAACTATAATTGAAGGTAACAATTCTTTGAAGCTGCAAATAATTCACTTCGGAAATACATCAATATATTGTGACATCTCAATGGGACATGTCCGTCCATACATTCCAGAAGCATTGCGGAAAGAAATTTTCAACGCTGTACACGGACTTTCACACCCTAGTGGTCGTTCAACTCTACAGCAAATTCGAACAAGGTACATCTGGCCCGGAATGAAAAAACATATCATCAATTATTGTCGTCGCTGTCTTCATTGTCAAAAAGCGAAGATTACCAGACATTCTCGTTTAACTCCGAACAAAATCGATGTTCCAGATAATCGATTTGATCATGTGCATTTAGACATCGTTGTTATGCCACATGTGCAGGACTTCAGATACTGTCTCACAATGATTGATCGATTCTCCAGATGGCCTGAAGCTGTTCCACTCAAAAACATGTCCGCTCAAACTGTCGCTAGTGCATTTTGGTCAACATGGGTTTCTAGATTTGGTTGCCCAAAAACAATAACAACTGACCAAGGCACTCAATTTGAATCAAGTCTTTTTAAATCCTTAGCAGCACTAACCGGAGCACAACGAGCCCGTACAACAGCGTACCATCCTCAATCCAACGGTATGGTTGAGAGGTGGCATCGTACTTTCAAAGCAGCGTTAATGTGTCATCCGACAGTTTCCTGGGTTGATATTTTACCAACAGTTTTACTTGGACTCCGATCTGCATTTAAAGAAGACCTTCAAGCCTCACCAGCAGATTTTCTCTATGGTGGTCAGTTGCGACTTCCCAATGAATTCTACGAAGAGCATAGTCAACAAGCTGATCCTGCCGAGTTTCTTCAAAAACTTCGAGAACATTTTAGAATTTTACGTCCAGTACCTACTGCACATCACATCAAGAACAAAATGTTCAAACTCAAAAACATCGACACATGCTCACATGTATTTCTACGAACCGATGCTGTACGAGAACCATTACAACCTCCATACATTGGACCTTATGAAGTGATCAACAGAATTACAGATCGATTATTTACAATTCGAATCAAAGACAAAGACGTCAACGTTACAGTCGATCGTCTCAAACCAGTTTTCGACTTCGACGATTCGAATCCAAACATCACATCAAATCATAACCAGACTGCGACTTCTACTCAAAACACATCATCAAATGACAGTCAAAATACGCCGCAATCTCCTTCTGAAAATTCAACCGCACCTACTCCATCAGCTAGGAACATATCTTTCCAGGATGATCGTGACTGTGTCACTGGAGGGGGAGTGGTTGTGGCATCTCCGTTACCGCCGTTAACAAACAATACGATCAACACCAAAGAAGAAACAGTTGCTGGCAAATCGACATCATTGAAATTGAACTCCTATTAATTGTCTTTTGAACTAATATTAAATAAAATAGTTATTAATGGTTGTTATTATAACCGCTGTGTTTTAATTCATCAACAACCCAATAAACTATATATTCTAAACTCATTACTGTCAACTACTCGACTACCCTGCACTTGTAATGTCACATTTGCGAAATGACATTTCAACCACTATATTTTAGAGTATTTTGATAAGATTTTTTTGTTATTTGGCTTACCTGAGCTTCGGGTATTTGTCGTGTGGAGAAACGTTTAAGAAATGAGTCTTCCCTTTTCAGCGGTGGTTTCTTCTGCATGGCAGATGATATCTGAACGGTTGTTCGTAATTTCATCCATCGTTGATTCGATCGTGTCCTGTTGTTGTAAGAGTATTTATGTTAATCATCAACTTGTGAAACACTAAATGGCGATAAACAGAATTCCGAAGGCCAATAATAAACACACATTTAAAGCACATTTAAGGGTTAAGTTTTCTAACGAAATTACCACTAAGAGGAGAAAATAAAACAAGGAACAGTAGTAAACAGGAGTAATTTAAACATTTTTGTTGACTACTTACGTTACAATAACATGGACTACTTACAAAATTGTAGGATGACACAGATACGGATACGGAACGAACGAGCGAGCGAGTTAATCAACATTTAGATGAAGTGAAGAGTGGTGGAGACGAGACTATGATGCACATATCTACACATACAGTTGCACCCGAGTTACGGGGCACTCGAGTACGGACGAATATGGATGTGGAGTATGAAAACCAAACAGAAACGTAAAGGCAAATCGAAACGTAAACGGAACGGAAACGTAAACGTAACGTAAACAACATTTAATATCCATACAATAAATATTGTATGTTTGTTTGTCTGTATGTCTGTGTCATCTCACACATGTCACATGCAATTCCACTTCACATCGATTTCTAAAAAAAGAATAGCAACATTGAGTTTCAAAAACCAAACAACAAAAACAACAACAAAATTAAATCAAAAACAAATATAAAGTTATTAATTTTTTGTAAATTACAGCTAAGGAAAAAATATGTTAGTTAACACAGGGTTAGTAGTTTTAGTTTTATAGTAAGTAATAATAATTATGGAAAGCTAAGGAGAAAATACATTGCAAGCTATTGATTTACGCGTTGACTACTCAACTGTTTCCGCCTTTTTCTTCGCTCAATATAATATATGAATTAATATAATGTACTTCTATATTTCCTACATACGTTTTGGCTGGGATTTTCAAGGTCAAGTTCTAAGACAGGACATGACTATGGTGCGAATACCAGTCCGTATACTCTCTCCATTACAAAGCTTTGACATTAAACAATTAAATTCAAACGTAACTTAACGTATTTACAAGAACGCAACTTCAGCTTTACTTCTCTCGTGGCTGAAATCAACGAGACTACCGCAAAATTCCAACAAACTTTCTTTTTTTTTTTTTTTTGATGAATAGTAAGTATGTATGAAAGGCAAAATATTGTATGTGATGTCAAATAAAAAGAAAACAAGTAGAACGGAAACGGAAACGGAAACTGAAGCAAGCAGCAATTTGCCAACAACAAAACCAATCGGTTCTTGTCGTGGCCATATGACTATTAATATTATTGTTAAGATTTTTGTTTTTGCTGTATCACTAATAAAAGAAGGAGCACTAAAATTCCAAAAATATATATAAGAAGTATTATGTATGTCAATCGGACAACTGGCATCAAATTATCAATTCTAACTTTTAAATTTTCTTATATATACGTATATAAATAGGTATGCGCAAAAAATACAAATTATTATATTTTTTTTAATCATTTGGTTATTACAAATGTGTGCTTTATTTAATTGGAGTTTTTGTTGTTCATTACTTTAATTTAAATTTGCTTGTTTTTGGTTTTGTTTTTAATTTGTTTAACAAAGCGTACATGCCGATTAGCCAACCCATTAGTTAAGCTGTTCATTTAGTAGGTTCTTTAGTTTGTTTTGTGGACTTACCAATCGGATTCTGGATCCGAAGTTCCATCTCCGATACGTGATTTCCTAGATGAATTCAAAATGTCATTCATAGAATTATTCATGTGATAGTTAAAGAAGATTTGATTGCATTTGCTAGGTTAAATAGAGGAATTGTGCTGTTTTTGTTTCTTAATTGAGATATCTTTTGTCGAATTTCCCGTACCTGGCACGAGTTTTTCCTTATGGCGGAAAAAAGTGTAATCGTACAACATACATATTCAATTTTCTTCTCTACATTACAATTACAAACATAATACGTATGTATATTTTAATTACAAAATAAACAAAGATATATATATATGTTTAAATAAGATAGAAATAAATTGAATTCTTAAACGAAATAACCAGTTATTGACCAATCGATAGATAGAAAGTCAGAATATATATGCATATTATGGTTTGAATTCAAATAAATTATTATTTCACATAAAAGTTCGACAAGCTTTCTTTTAGGAGATAGATAGGCGCAGAACTTTAAATGTATGTGTATCAAATCGGCAGAGACAACAGAGTAATATTTCCGTTTCGCTTTAAAATAGATAAGGTTGCCTAATGATAACTTCCCAATTGTCTTTGGATGCAATTTGCTTTGAATTCATATGTATGTGAATTTGTCGCTTCACTTTAGGTCCGAAACTATTATTCATATTAAATTCTGTCGTTGATAATAATAATATAAATTGCGTTTTAATTACAAAACAGCTTCGTACTATCTATCTGTCCGCCCCATTGTTATTAAATATCGAGGTTTATCGCAAAAATATGACAACTAAACAAAAGAAAATTGTTTGGTGATATTGTGAAATTGAATTTGTCGGAAGCTTTAATATGAAAATTGTTATCAGAAGATAAACAAAAAAAAAAAAAATACAGGCGGTGAAATTCTTTATTTTTAATAATACTGACCAACTGACGCACAATTTAATAATAGAATATTGTAAGAATGTCACTTAGATAGCCACATGTGAGCATGGGGATTTCCACCGTTTAAAAATTCAAAAAAAAAATCATTTTGAATTGATGTTTGGATATGAACTGTTGTCCGAAACATATTTTTTTGTCATTAAACATAAAATTGTGTTTTCCTCTTAACTCCTTACTATTGCTACTTTAAACTAAAATGTATATATATTTAATTTTATTAATTGAAAAAGGTTCTATTAAAAATCGATACATTTATCTCCACCTCCACTACGACTAGACCAATTTATAATTTCACATTTATAATTCATAACAGTAACTAATCGGTTAAAATTAGAAATAATTAAAAAGTGCCCGGAATATCGCTGCCGTTTTCCTTCCCGATTTGATAACACAACTCAGAAATTATAGTAATTTAAGTAATGGAAACAGTTTGGCAAAAAATCTTCAGCGTCCCAAATCTTCGTGAAACAATCATTGATCTGAGCTGGAAAGGAAAGCACTCAATTCGGTCGATGAACATTCGGATGGGTAAGCATATAAAACTTCGACCTTCCTTTTTAAAACGCTATTTTATTATTTATTTTATAATGAGAATATTTTATTTTAATTAAATATGGCAATGGATATAGCCAATTTGTAACATTCCTTAAATTCCTACAACAACAAATATAGAAAAAAACTAAAGAGTCAAAAGAAATGGTACAACTTTTGTGTGTAACAAGTTAGAAATAATTTTTCAAAAAGAAAAGAGAACCGACTGAATCTGAATAAATGACCTGTAACTTTTTTTAAAAATAAACTTATAGTGAAAGTGTTTTCTGAAATAAATAGGTAATTTTTACGTTTTTAAAAACAACAAATATAATCGCAAAATTTTATTTTGAAACAAAAAATAAGCTAAGGAAAACAAAAACACCCAATTTTTGCTTTGTCAAAACTAAAGCAACGTTTGATTTTTTTCCTTTAAAAAATATTTTTGATTTCGGTAGTACAATTCAATTGCATCTTTGGATATACTATTCCCCGCATCCTGTACCTTTGGAAAGAGGTTGTGATTGTTAGTTTGTGATTATCTTTTAATTTGGTTATCAATGATTTGTTTGTCTTAGTTCTCGGTGTATTGTTCGCCGCCAGGTTTAATTGTCGACCTCGATTTCTTGATTTCAGTCTAGCGCCATTCTGTTTATGCTATGGACATTTTTCCTTAAGGTGCGGTCAATCCATCCGCATTTCCTACGTTTAATCTGCTTTGGTATAGGTTCGTGGTCCGTTAGGTTCCACAGCTCTACGTTACTTATGGTGTTGGGCCAGAATATTCTGTATATGATCCTGAGGCATCTGTTTATGAAAACCTAAAGCTTTTGTGTGATGGTTTCACTGCCGTATAGCAGAATCGACATTGCAAATGCATCGAATATATAAGTTTGGATGTCGTACTTGTGTTGTTATTTCTCACAGACTTCGTCTGTCAAACATCTTCTACTTTTGACTGCATGTTGGATATCTTGTGAGAGATAATGCAGAAGTCATCCGCATAGTCTAATTATTCGAGCTGTGGTGAGAGACTCCATGTTATACCTCTTTTTTGAGGTCAGACTTCATTTAATTTTTTCATCCAGTAAAATTGTGAATAGTAGGGGTGACAGAAGACATCCTTGTTTTACGTTGGTGCGAATCGGTAGGCTCATATTCCCGTTGAGATCTTCGTACATCCATCTTATCTACATAGATTCTATTTGGTCTGAATCCAGCTTTTTCATCTCACAGAATGTTTTCTACTTTAACTTTAATTGCTTAGCTTCTACCTTTTATATTTGAGACTATCTATTGTTCGGTGTAACTTTCTCGTGTAATTCTGGCTAGGAGCTCCCTCGGTTGTTTTTGACAGATTTTCTAGGAACCGTCGTTGTTCAGCTACAAATTGAGTTCGCCTTTTTGAGAAATTAGGTTCCAAGTGTCGTCTGATATCTAGATTTTTCTCTGAACTTGGTGATCTGTCAACTTGTTGTCTTCCCATGTATGATGTTGGTTTATTGGTAACTTTTCGCGTTTTACAATGTTGTCTTGGAGTTGTTGTAGGCGTAGTTGTTTTCGCCTGGTTTGCCTGGTATTTCTTCTTGGTCATTTCAGTTTTATCTTAATTTTTGCCAATGATGAGCTCGTGGTTACTGCCAATGCCACATGCTCTTTTTTTCCTGACGTCTGACAGGGAGCTTTTCCATCTTCTACGTGATCTATTTGATTGAGTATTTCAGCTTGGTGATGTCCATGTGTATTTATGAATATCCATGTGCGGAAAGATGGAGTCACCAATGATCAGCTGGAATGTTTGGCACAGTTCTATGAGTCGCTGATCGTTATTGTTTTTGACTCAGCATCCATGTTCTCGCATTGCCATTGGTGTTATCACTTCCTACTTTAGCGTTAAAGTCACCCATGAGAATAACAAGGTCTCCTCTCCGAATTTTATTAGACGTCGCAGTTAATTGTGAGTAGAATTCATCTTTCACAGTATATTCAGCGTCTTCGTGGGAGCATAGCACTGTACTATGGTGACGTGTCTTGCGTTGATCTTGAATCGAGCCATTACTACACGGTCAGAAATTGGTTTCCATGTCTCCAACGATTTCTTAGTGTTCTTCGACATTATGATCACAATTCCACTTTCACTTCATTTTCTTTTCCACTGTATAGCGTTTTCAACCCATCAGATCCATTACTTCATAAATCTCGTAAATATATCGAATTTTCTGTTATGGATCAACGTAACAACCGTAAATCTAGTAGCAATATATATATATATATATATATATTAAATAAGAATACAACTATACAATACAAATTATTACATTATAAATGAAATAGAAGTTTGAATATGAGAATCAATGTTGTACAATTTCTTTTGAGGCATACAGTTGACATGTGTGTCGATATATTCAAGAACTTGAAAAAAAAAACTTTGTTTTCTACTTCCACAAAGCCTCCATATTTGTTCTAAATCAGCTCAGCTCAGATCAATGAAATGTTTTTATTGAATACTCAATTAATTGAGCGGAGAACAACTGAAGTTCTTTTTTTTTGTCGCACATTGTCATTGTTCATATTGAAATTAACGCAGTACAATTGATTGTTTTAGAAGTAAAGAGTTAGATTAGTAGGACGGCATTCCTTACACCAAGTAGAAAGTAAATATATATATACCATTAAAATAAAGTAATATGTACTACGGAAGGGGTGTGGTTGTGATGGTGGTGAAAGATCATGTCTGGATGTATGCATGTTGTGGGGATGTATTCGGGCGGAGTGGAGTGTTTGGTATGTTAGTGTCTAGTTTTTTTCACACACACATACATACATGTATTTTCACAAATATTTGCATGTATGTTCTACTTGTGTACGTTTGTGTGTCAGTGTTTTTTTTTTTAATTGAGGAGACATGAGTTTTCGTTATGGAGAGCTAAGTTAATAATAATAATGTTTGGATAGATACGAGTATTAAGGTGAGTAGTAGTAGATTAGTTACAAGAACAAAGGTTTATTTTATTTTAAAGTGGACCGTTCCTCTTAATGCGTCGCAACGAACAATAATAGGCCATCACTGCCCGGACACTCTTCCACTTTTGATTTTGATTGGGATTAGTACCATTTGTGTTGGCCGTTGCCAAATTCTCATTGTCATTGTTGCTACTCCTCAGGCTACCGGCTAGTTGATCGGAACTGTTCTGCTGTTGGGACTGGTAGCATTTGAGCGAGTTACTGGTTGCAGAGTTTGCAATGCTATTCAGAACTTCCGATGATGGGCTATTCAGAAGCAGCGTGACATGTCGCCGATTACTATAATCGACTGATGAATGATCCGATAGTGTAAGGCGATCCCTTTCGGTATAGTTCCTAATAGCAGCTTGACGCATTGCTACACTGCTGTTGTTATTATTATAACGCTTTCGTTCTGACTTACTTCCAAGGCTCTGAGAAAATGTCGTCGACGAAGAGGAAGGAGATCTTAAGAAATGGTAAACATTTAAACGTTGCATAAGTGACTATTATTCTAGGGTACATTAGTGGTAGTATGTTTGTCTGTAAGTACATATTACGAGGCAATTAGAAATACTTGTAAAATCCCATTAATAAATTAGTTTATTTTTACGACACAATATTTTCTGATTCACTTTTATCTTGCACGAAACGAAATAGCGTATTTAATGTAACATCACCCACCAATTTCTACAGGAGTATCTCCCATAAAATAAAGTTAAGTATAGTTAAGGATCTTTGTAAAATATATACGATTCTCTCAACACCGCGATGTTCACGTGTAATTCGAATAATTTCCGATACAACTGACACATTTCATTTCTTATTTGATAATTTAATTAAATATGATTATTTGAAATTCGAAATATTTAGTTAGTGATTTGAATTTTTTGATTCGGAATTTGCATCGATACATTTGGAATTCAAATTATTGTCCAAATTTTATTTATTTATTATTATTTTTTTTTTTAATTGTGAATTAAAATTCAATGTCAAATGTGGGATGTGAAATTACCCCTTCGCAGCAACTAGAATTTTATGCATGTCTGTTGAAATCACAAAATAGTTAGCAATATTTAAAATATATCATAGAAATAGTGGACCTACATTGCTTATGTTTAGTATTAAAATGTGATATACAAGTCGACGTTTTGATATAGCGCCTATATAACTGTTCCGATCGTTTTCGGTATTTTAAATTTTCAGGCCTCATTTCCATTGTATTTCATCGAATTATTTACGAAAATGGTGTAGAAACACAATTCTCAATCGTAGTCAAAATCAATAGCATAAGGCGGACATTTTTTTAACGAATTTTTAAAATAATCACAATATGTTCGATTATAAACAAAATCACTACTCTCCCCTATATAAATAAGTGCTAGTCATAGAAAGTTTGCTGGTGATAACACAAATCCAATTGTGAGATATATGGTTGGGAGATTTTTAATCAATTGCAACAAATACTGGAGTTAATGACGAAAATCAGCAGTGATTTAAATTTGAATTTATGACTAGGCTAAAACAAATAAATAAAATAAACCGAAATTTTATGTTCGGTCATTATCGAACCATATTGATTTTCGAACAATTTGGAATTATTCCATTATCAAAGATTTCCTTTTATATTGTCAGATTTTCACAGATAGAAACAGAGAAAAGTGCCATAGTCGCCTGGTAGCCAACAAAATAGGAATATCAAAATTTAGAATTCAATTTAAAAATGTTCGACATTCGTTGGTATACAATATTAGAGAAGAAAACATAGATATGTCTGGAAGGAGAACTTATTAGATTTCTTAAAAGGATGGACATTGTCTCCAGGGAAATATATCACAACCATCGCCAACCAATTGTCTTATTTGAAGGCTTCTTTACGATTCAAGGAATTTTGAGTTTTAGTAATGAAACAGGCTTATCATCATGTTAATTTATTTTTATAATTTACACAGTACTAATGATATGCAACACTGAACTTCTTAAAGAGAATACCATGACACAATAAAAAGGTACTTCCATGGTACAGTTAATAGATAGTCCATTTAGAGCAGCTGACGACTCCAGTAACCGTCGAAGTGCTTTTCTTCTACTTGAATTCGATGTGCAAACATTATTAGAATCGAATAAAAAAACATTTGTTATTGTTTTGTAACTTCATTTAGCGCAGCTAACCATGGCACAATAAATAGGTAGTCCATTTAGAACAGCTGATGTCTCGATTAACTGTCAAAGTGCGTAATATCTACTTGAATTCGATGTACAATGTTGCCAACCATGTGAAATATTATAAGGAAAAATTTGACAGATAATCTAGACAAAAACAATGGTATTTGTTTTGATACATCATCTTATTATTGCATCAAAGGGCGTAGTCCATTTAGCGCAGCTGACAATTCGATTAACTGTCAAAGTGCGTAGTTTCAACTTGAATTGGACGTGCAATGTAACCAACCATGTGAAATTTTGCTAGACAAAATTGACAGATGGTCGGGTAAAAACAAATGTTTTTGTTTTGACGCATCACCTTATTATTGCATCACGGTGTCTACATGAATTCGACATGCATTGTTGCCAACCATGAGAGATATTACTAGATAAAATTTGACGGGTGGTCGAATAACATTTTTACTTGTTCGCCCTGGCAAAACTTTTTATATCCTCCACCATGATGTGGTCATTAAAAATACCTAAAACCGATTGGGATTTTCATGAGAGAAGAAAATACTAAACTACTTGCATTCAGAGTGAATATACCACAACTAATGCGTGACGATTTAAAAAAGAAATGAGCAATCCTCAAAATACCGAATATGGTGGCTATACCAAAATGGAAACCGATATTGATAATTTTTGGTTGTGAGATTTGGCGCCCAAATAAGAACCCAAAATATACACTTAGTTCAAAGGAAACCGTGCCCAACACCCCCCAAAATATCCAATATTCAGGGGTACAGTTATATGAATGTTTTAGTACATACAAAAAGCTGAGAAAAGCGATTTTGAAGGGTATGTTGTGTTTAAAATGCCTTTATAATATGAATTCATATTATTTTTTATTCATGAAAGATTTTTCTTAAATATAGACGATTAGGACTATAACAAGGCTTTTGACACTTATATTTAAGATTTTTCAGAAGTGGAGTTAATCGAAGTGGGTACTGAACGCCTCATATGGCGGCTATCCAATCTACACCACCTCAAGTTTTAGCTAAGCGGATATAGTGTAAGGTCATCAAGTCTAATGTTAAAAATTTGGACTTTGTTTACGTTTTCACAATAACATATTCTGACAGCAAACTTGAGAGGATGCTGATATCCAACTGGTCTCCCTGGATGACTTTACTATAGGCCTTGTATTTCAGGATTTCGTTGTATATATAGATTTTTTCGTTGTATATATAGATTTACCATCCTGTATGTGAATTTACTTATATATTCTATGATATGTTTGGCCTCAGATATATATTTCAAATGTAAAGATATGACATTATCGAAATCAAATCGAATATAATTAAGTGTTTAAAATAGATCTTTATTATATGGTAGAGTAAATTCGTTTAATGTGCTATAGCTACCTTACTTTTTACCGTAACTAAGAGAACATTCATTAATATTAATTCATAGTCAAAAAATACAAAATTTCAAAGTGGGAGGCTAATGTGGCATTCTATACATCAGTATGCGAATTTATTTCAAAATTTATTAAAACATTATCTTAATTGAAAAGATATTATATCGACTCCAATTCCAGTTAATATTTTACTAGTTGATCTTCCAGTGATGCCGTTAAGGTTGGAGGATGGCCAAGCTTAGTTGACAAGAGATACTCAATGGTGTTATTGTTTCTGGGGACATTAAATGCTCTTGAAGTCAAAAAACGTTCATTTGATTCCATATCACATCGTTGTACTCTTATTTTAGAAATAAAAATTACATGTACCATATTATTCGAACTTACTCCAACAACATAATGGCGTTTTAAATGAAGATAAGAAAATGGGGCCCCAACATATCGCTCATTTTCTGCAAGACCGGCATAAATAAAATAAATGATTTGGCAAAAAATGTGTTTTAAGTTCTCTATCGATTCACATCTTACAAGGAACAGATGAACTTCTACAGCTTATCACTTCAGAGTGCGTACGAGATATTCATGTGAACTTTTTTCATAACATGAAGTCTTATATAGAGAGCGATGTTTCGACAAATATATTTATACATAATACATTTTTATCTCAGTATGCATAAAATCTTTGTCATCCTTTATTCGATTTCTTTGCGGATAGACCAATAATTTGTTTAATTGTACTCCATTATAAATATGTCTGTTTGGGGGTTATGGAGAAAATCAATGTAGTGTGATTCTTGTTTTTCTGTTTTTTTTTTATTATTGACAATGATTATTTGATAATTACATCATGTGAAGGTATAAATGTTGGGAAAAGTTAGGTGAACCACATCCAACATTCCACCAACACATTAGTCCACTGGAAGTCATAACAAGATTTGAAGGTTCACATACATTCAACATATATGCCATTATTAAAGTATGTATATATGTAATGGTTGGTGCATAAATATTCGATTTCAACCGATGTTATAAAAATACATAAATGTATTTACATAACTGTAAATTGCCCTTTGGCTGCATTAGACAGGATGCAGTATCAATCAAATGGCGTATCATACATATTTTCTGTATGTAAAAGTGTTTCTTTGGGGACCAGTTTTGTTCTTTTTTGTGGTATAAATAGACATCTTGGAACTTACCTCTGACTCGGACTTTTACTATCAGAGGAGTGGGCATTACTGTTCTGGTCATCGTCTCGTCTCTTCGATCGGCGTTTATTGTCGACACGAACATGATCATGCCCCGAACTGCTGGTACCGGTGGGACTGATCACATCCGAGTCACTATTATTACATTCGGCTGGATTCATTGTTGGGGGGAAAGTAATCGGAACTTCGCTAGTTTCAATCTATAAAAATAACAACAATGGGAAGTGACTGTTAAACGGCTACAGGATTACTTTGACGTTCGGTTACTAATCTGCTAATCACGACTTACCGCATACAGGCCAGCTGATGAGGCTGTTGACGAAGAGGCTGCTGCCCCTGTGCTGCCGTAGTTGAGTTGTGAGTGATAACCGCTCGACAATATTTTCTTGTGAGCCGATGCGTGTGCGCGGTACGCACTCACGCTTAGTTTCATTGTGGTGTAAACATAAAATGCAAAAATTTGACGCTCGGTTGTTGTCTAGTTCGACATATGGCCACATTTACTACGCTTCGTTTCTCATGGTGTGTGGATATTTGAACGGTTGTATCCTTACCTCTAGGAGTTGCGGGAAAACCCTTGGTCTCCTTAAGCAAGTGGGTATTAGTATTAAATGGACGTTGGTAATGCATTAAAATAGCATTTCATTGCGACATCAATGGGTGGGTAATTCGGTTGTGTCCATGTGGCAACATTTGTCTCTTATATGTATGTATATATCTTACCACGATATAATCATGACAAATCATCAGTGGTTAAGGCCCCTACGTCTGTGATGACAAAAACAAAATATAATACAAAACAATTATATACATAAATAAATGTTAGATGCGATTAGTAAAATGAAGTGGGTCATAAAAACACATTTCTCTATATCACAGAAATTTTAGACCGCGTGCATGAAAAAAAAAATCCTCATTGAAAACACGGGATGCTCCAACTTTTCGACATTGTAACAATAAGATATTGCCGATTCTCACAAAATGCTAACAAGACATTGAGTTTCAGAACCTAGTGCTAAACAGAGACATAGGATCTTTAAATGGTTATAGCACCAATTGACGCCTTGATATGCTGTCTACGCAGAAAAAAATAGTATATTATATGAATAGTGTTCAGAAAGTTTTGCCAATGTCGGGATTTTTGCATTTTATGAATGCAATGCATAAAACTTTAAATACTGGTTACTTGTCAGAGAGAGAGAGAGTGAACACCACCCCATCCTTGGAGTGTGTGTTTGGTGGTGGTGTGGTGTTTTCTATGTCGTTTTATTTTTTCTATTTTGATTTTATATTTTCTTCTTTTTTCATTATGTTTTTTCTCGTTTCTTCATATCTACATACATGCCATTTAGAACAATCATCGATCGTATCAACACTTGTTTGATATTTTGAATTTATCATTTATATCGAAATCACTTGGAAAACACATATGAGAATTTTGGAACACCAATGCAAATGTCGGTAAGAGTGTCTGAATGATGAAACTCTAGTTACAAAACTGGTTACAATCGGGTGATTGGAAAGTAGGCGGTTATTAACAACAGCAAAGCAACAACCACCAAGTTAGGGGAGAACCGGAGGACGATACCAAATCAAAAAACCCTATGAATGGTGGTTGTGGTATTTTTTCTGGAGAGCAAAAAGTAGAGCGAAGTAGGAAACTAGTTGTGATATTAATGAAATATTTACATGTTTTGGAAAAAATAGTGCATTTCTCATGATTAAAAGAATTTTTAATTGTATTCAAAGCAAGGTACATATAATATTGAAAAATTACGAATGAAATTATAAAAATATTCACTTATAAGTGGTTATTTATACTCTTTCGATTCGAGCTTGATGATGTATTTATTCCGCCCTGATGCGGGTCAAATGAACCAATATTTATATCTAATAATCAAAATTGGAATCGTGAGGAGTAAGTTTTTAATCCAGGAAACATGATTCGGAAAAGATGTCGCAGAGGAGCTGTTGACCTCTAATCGGTCAAGTGAAAGCAAGTATGAGGAAATATTTCCCAGACTCTGAATATATCCGCTGAAACTTAAAGCTCAGTGGTAGTTGTGTATTGTCTCATATGGTCGGCCCCGTCCGCTCACTGGTTTTTAAATAAATCACGAACATTCCAAACCTTATCATTTAAATATTAATAAGTTTTAAGTGAATACAATCTATTTGAGATCGATATTCAAAATACCTAAAATGGATCGGTCTTTTTATGAAGAAACCCGAAAAATACGAAATATCAAACTGAAGACACTCGTTGGATTTTAGGTAACGTTATAAAATTCGTAGAGTGCCTCCACATGCCGGATCATTACGTTTTTGAAATGCTCCTTGTATTGGGACTGTGGAACGAAAAATATTTTTCAATTCAGTTGTAATTAAAATTAAAAAAAAAACTTGACAGTCCATTCAAGGGCTTTGTTTTTATTATCAGCAATTTTATGGACGGTTGCAAAATTCTGGACAGAGAATATTTCAAGGCGTCGGTTGGCTATATCACCATTAAAACATCCTCTGGGCTGCCTGTCACTAGGATGATGTTTAAATAAGAAATGTTTTAATAATTTATTTAAATGCATCCATCTGTTTAATTGATCATTATTACATGTTAATACTTTTGACACATGTCAATGTCATATGAATTATAAATAATATTCACAAAAATATGAAACGTTGACTTTGACCTAAATTCATTTGTAAACCGTGAGCCCCAGATATTTTCCTCTCTACCTGAAATGGACTTTTTGTCAACAATTTGCATTCCAGGACCCATTTTATAACTTAAAAATAAATCAGATTCGAACCAAGATTTCTTTCCTTCCCTCCTGCAATTAATTTGTCAATTTAATGTAATGCGAATGATTTAAACTTGATGACATATTTTTATTTCTAATCAACAACTTGTCGTCCAGAGTGTTTTCAGCATTCTTATTTATTATAATATTTAATGCCACTTGCAGGTTGATGTGCCTCTTCATTAAGTATTCCCGAACAATCGACAATTCATGTACTTAAGTTCTCCAGACCACTCAAGCCATTTTAATACCTTCGAGTGGGAAGTCATGTGTTGTCTTTAAAAGTAAATACCCTGAATGGTGTACACAACGTTCAAAAGGTACGGTTGCTGCAGTACCCATACCACCGACGGAATTAATATTATCTCAGAAACAAATAAACACAGAACGTTATAAATTTTCTTTTAAAGCCGCGTAATTAATTTGACAATCAATTTTAAATATGTCAAAAAAGTCAGCGTATTTGATTTAAAAAATAGAATGCCATAAATACATGTTAACGCCTGTAATAAAATAAAAAAATTGCGATAACACGATAACCATGAAACACATGTTCGCTTTTTATTTCAAAACTTTTTTTGAGCAAGATTTATGGACGGATTGCAATCGATCAGAATATTTGACCATATAATTGATATCCATTTAAATTAATTAATTTAAATCAATAACAGTTACTAAATGCCAAAAATGTCCCGTTTATTAAATATGTGGGCTTTTATTATCAGAGTTGTATACGATTATTAAAAATAATCTTAGGACGCGGAAATTGGTCTGGTATGCATTAGAATGTGCAATGAGTTGAAGAATGCTGTCCGAATTACCGATATATGGATTATCGGGAGTTTACTGTATATCGGAAAGATTAATTTTGATTTCACCGTGAAATTTCTTTCCACCACAACCAGTGAGCGGGGCAGTATTGTCGGACGGGGCGGGCCATATGATACCCTACACAACTACCACTGAGATCTATGTTTCTGCTGATCTATATTCCGAGCCTGGCGAATATTTCGCGATATTTGGAATATTAAAGGGTAACAGCGGCATCATTTCCTAAACATGTTTTCCCGGAGCAACAAATTCCTCCATAAAATTAAAATTTTGGTTTTGTACACAAACAATTTTTGATTCATGTGACCTGCTAAATATTGACCTTCATGTCAGCAATTCAAATTAGTTGGTCAGATCGCCTATACAATGGAAAATTTGTGCTGTTCGGATTGTCGTCTAGAGCGACCGGACAACTGGGCAAAAATAAAGTTTTCGGTTCATTTCATCCCGAAATATCTGATCATCATCGAAAATTATAGGTGTAGTCCTTGGCCATAAGCGGAACCTCATACAAAATTTCCTAGATATCAGCTCGAAACGTATTCTCTATAATGTGGTAATGGTAATATTAAAAAAATATAAGATTACGTGAACACCTGTAAATATTTAAGTCAAACTTCCACATCCGAGTAGAAAGAATAATAAAATTGGTATCAATTTCTACGTCAACCGCTCCTTTTGGATATACTATGAACTTCTCGGATTTATTTTCTTTGCGAGTAATTATATACGCCATAGAATAGACATTTTGTAATTTTTCACACAAAAGTCTGAGTCCATTCGACCAGCTAAATATTGGCCAATCTTTACAAAAACAGTCAGACCCTCTGTGAAAAATGCAGTTATGTTCGGATCATAATTGTGACCTCGGAAACAGACAAAAATTAGGTTTTTGGTCTATTTCATTCCCTGAATATCAACCGATGATTTTATTTTTAAAACATTATTTAATAATCGGTGGTCTAATGATGATACACAAACAACATGAATTTTTCCACATACAACCAAATTTAGTTTGCAATGAGTTTGGTTAAAATAGGTTCAGATTTGTACATCTCAAAAATCTATTTCAAAATACATATACATTTTTATATAAGTATTAAAATTATTAATTATATATTTAACTCAATCAAAATAAATAAAAAACAAAAACAAAAATTTACCCAAAATCTTTATTAAACATTTCTCATTTGATACGTGATTATTTTGAAACAAAAAGAAATAAAAACATATGATCAATATGTTCAAATTTGTCATTTTCCATTGCATCGAGTGACAATCATTATCAATAAATGTCACCCAAGCGATGAATAATCGTTTAAGCGTATAGCTTGCATACCAAAACCTACATATGTGGCGTGCGGGTGTAAGTAGTGTCTCTGGGGTCTACTCAATTTTTATATGAGCAGTGATAGTACTAAGCACACAATCGCACTCTACGTAATTAGGAATTCGTTTAAAGAAATTTCGGAGTAGGTGCTCTATCAAAATGTTAGACATAAGCAAATATTGATATTCCAAAAAGAAAGACAAAAACCTAAGATAAGAATTACAAAAATACAGAAAAATACATTCATTATTTGCTGCCACTCTTACGCGTTCACCGGCTCTGCCCTCTGCTCGGCCCCTCTGCCCTGATCGTGGACACAATACATGTGTACGATTTGAAGTTCAGTGTTGTGATATATCTTCAAGATAAGGAAATAAAAATTATATTAAATTAAATTAAACACTACAGAAAAGAATCAAATAAATAATAACGAAAACAAAAAAAAAACAAATCAGAGTCATAACAAAATAAAATAAGTATTTCAGAGCGGATCTATTGGTACCCTACATTAGCATATTAGTTATACTTATTTTGATATCAGACTGTTTCGGAAAAAAAACTCACGAATACTGAAAAGTCAATGTAATATTAGTCTCTATCAATTGGTATTGTATAAGTGAATATAAACTAATAGAACGTTTACATTGTACCGGATTTAGTTAACCCAGTGGGTTTTAATTGTCAATGCCATTGCATACTTGTAAATTAAATCCCCATAAATTAAGCATAATGTAAATGTCGTTTAAATCTAATTCATTATTTTTCCCAAAGCTTTGTAAAGGCCGATCGTCATTTCGCCTGCAACACCTCCAAATATCTAATTATTTCTCTTGATGTCTGGTATTTACCGCACCATTTTTGTTATTTTGAAGATTTTATCCTCATTGGTGGGGTATCGTTCGGCCTAGCTAAAATTTGCGCCTGTTTTTCTTATCATAACGAATTCAAATTTGTTCGAATGTCACAGAAATAGACAATAAAGTTGCACATACATTTAATATGTTTAAAAGGGTCCTGATATTGAAAATCTATTTTTTACGATAGCGTATTTCATATTCGGCCGTAACCTTCCCGTAACAGTTGTTGTCTTTGTTTTAAATTAATTTCCTCAAAAGAAATTGACCTTGATAAGACATTTTCCAAATATCACAACAAAAAATTTAAACCACTGTGCAGTAGAAATTGACGTAGGATGTTTATGTATGCGTATACACAAAACCACAATCGGAGTAATGTGGGTTCTTTGCGAGCACTTTGATTTGAAGAGTATTCTGTACGAGTCGTTATATTCTGATAGATTTCCCCATAGTAGTGGCTGACTGGTTGGCTAGTTAGTCAGTCTGTGCGTGGACGGTAAATAGAGAAAATCACAGCCTCGTATGCACAGTTAAATAGTCAATAACCGGCAACCGCATAGCGGGCAGAATCAACACCTTCAGTGTGAAAGTCGCAACCAGTGTTAACGAACATAAATTATGATTATATATTCGAACGAGATAAATCTCGTTATAGTTTGCCTCGGGTTAACGGTCGTATCGGGCTCTTTTGACGTAAATACCGTAACAGGAGTGTTGGCTTCGGCGGTCAACGCCACTATTCCCGGCACTGATAGCATCGAAAAATTACGTGTAGCCCTCTCGGGAACAGTGAACAGTATACCAGTTAACGAGAGCACATACTCGATCTCGACAGATTTGAATGTAACGAGAAGTGCCGATGAAACATGTTCCTCGCTTGACGATGCGGCTCAGCTGACACAGACTCAGTTGATTAATCGCCTGACAGCACCTTGCCGTTATGATCGGCTGGAACGTCCCTATGTTGTGGTCAACGAAACCATTGTCGATGCTCCGCTGGATGTCTACGTTCGCATATACATTTATGTGTTGCAGAATCTCGATACGAGCGACTTGCAGTTCAAGATGCACGGTCTGCTGCAATTGCGTTACAAAGACCCTCGTCTAGCTTTCGACAAGTATGCGCCGAACAGAAAACAATCCATTTTGGGAGAATCGAAATTGCGCGAATTGATCTGGGTTCCGCATATATTCCTCGCAAACGAACACGATTCGAACGTTCTTGGGACCAGCGAAAAAGACATACTCACTTCAATTAACCCAGACGGTACTGTCATCACATCGTCGCGCATTCAAGCCACTTTGTACTGTTGGATGAAATTGCAAAAGTTTCCCTTTGATGAGCAGTACTGTCCCACCGTCCTGGAGAGCTGGATGTATAATGCAACGGAACTACGTCTATTTTGGGAGGAAAACGCTCCGGTAACATTCGACCCCAAGATGCATTTAACCGAGTACGCCCTACAAAATGCCTGGACGAACGAAACCATTATTAATGCCGATCTGAATGACTTACGGCACGGAGCATTTGCTGGCAATTACAGCTCGTTGAGCTTCACTGTCCACCTAGTGCGAGAAGTGGGTTACTATGTCATGGACTACTTTTTACCCTCGATAATGATCGTGGCCATATCGTGGGTGTCGTTCTGGTTGCAGGCTGACCAAACCCCAGCTCGTACAACCCTTGGGTGCACCACTCTGCTATCATTTATCACGCTGGCATCGTCCCAGGAGAACAACTTGCCAAAAGTCAGTTATATTAAGGTCTCCGAGGTATGGTTTTTGGGCTGTACCTTCTTCATATTTGGCAGTCTGGTAGAGTTTGCCTTTGTCAATACGATATGGCGTCGGAAAAATAGTGTCGAGGTGAAAAAAGTCAAAAGTAAATATATTTTGAAATCAACTCTAACGCCTCGCATGAAACGCCACAAAATGATCGACAACGAGCGACAACAGTCGCGGCCAACTTGTGATCGTTTTCTATCCGTGGACCCACCATCGCCGGTCATAATAACTGTCGGTGATCAGACACCCAGTAAATTTACATCGTCGGATTCAATAGCGACCATAACATCAAGTGTAGACGACAACTACTCCGACCGAGATAATAAACCTAACGAGAATCAGTCGTGGTCGACAATGACACCACATGAAGTCTCTTTGTGGATTGATCGCAAGGCTCGCTTCCTATTCCCGGTGGCATTTATCATTTTCAATGCATTATTTTGGTTATTTGTATACTGTTTATGACAATAAAGAGATGGATATATTCGATTCGTATTTGCAGTAAATAATTCATTGATTGATCTCATGTGCATATTAAGGCGCGTTTAGACTATGAGAAATTAATAATGGAATTCATACATATATAAATTTCAAATAATTTGAAAATAAATTTCATACAATTTTATGTATGTCGATTGGCAGAACATTGCTCTCAAGATTTAACCATAGTTTATTACAACTTATATTTATATTTATGTCTGCCCGAGACTACCTTGTATAATTATGACATGAGACTAGTAATAAAATGAGATGAAGTGGATGTATCAGCTGTTATTTTTTTACGTATACATCTATATATATATAAAAGAGCTTAGTGTTGAGTGAGTGAGTGAGTGACTGACTGACAGATCATCGCGCAGACGAAACGTCTGTAGCTAGAAGCTTGAAATTTTGAGTGTGGGTTGTTGTTGTTTGTGTAGGCGTGAGATAAGGCTGGGTTTTTGGAAATTCGAACTAGAAGAGTACGAAATGTACTAAAATGTACCAAATATGGTACCCTCTGTATTCGGCGAACGCGAAGAGCTAGAATTCTGAAATTTGGAATGTGGGTCACTGATGGAAAGTTAGAAAGCTGTACAAAAGGGTTTTTGGAAATTAGACATACAGTGGTGGTCACGTAATTAAAATTAAAATTAATTAAAAAAATATATATCTGTCACAACAGAACGAACAGAGATCAACGCCTATGTTGACGAGTAAAAGTTTCTGGCACACAGCAGTAAAGCAAAAAATTACACAATGTTTTAATTATGTGGCCACTTCAAAGCCGATGTATTTTCATTAAAACTGTTATTTATGGAAGAATTGCATGCAATAATTTTCTATTTTCACACTAAATCTCTAAAGTGCAGTATATCGAAGTGTTCTGAATTAAAAAAATTCATAAATACTTCAAACAAATCGAGGGCTGATCAAAAAATGTTTACCACAATAAATGTTTTAATTACGTGACCACCACTGTATAAGTGTACTAAAAGTAAAACTTTACTAAATTTAGTACTAGTGGTATATATTGAACATATATAGCTAGAAGCATGAAATTTTATGTGGAATTCAGGGTGGGAGGTGGTGTTGATGTATAGAAATGGTTTAATAAATTCGTACTTATGTGTATTAAAAGTACAAAATGGTACTAAATTTGGTACTATTTGCATTTAATTCAGTGTATAGAAATAGAATCCTGAAAATATTAATTAGGACTTTAAGAAATCGTACTTATGTGTATGAAAAGGACTAAATGGTACTTAGGTGAACAGATAGAGCTGGAGTTTTCAAATTTGGAATTAAAATGGCTGTTGGAGTGTAGGATTGAGGTAGTTTAGGAAATGATACTAAATTTAGTACAATTTGGATGATACTTGAAAGGATCGAGCTGAAAACCAGAAAGTTAGAAGGATTGAGCTATAGGGACATTTTTGGAAATTCATATTTATGTGTACGAATAGTACTAAACGGCACTAGATTTGCAACTTGGATTTGGGAGAGCTGGAAACCTAAAATTTGGAAGGGTTTTTGGTACTAAATTTAGTGGTGGTGGTGGTGGTACGGAGATAGTCTAGAAAATGTATACTTATGTGTTCGAAAAGTGCTAAATGGAACTAAATGTGGAACCTGTATGTAAATATACAATTGGAATTCTGATCTATTTTTAATCGAAATAAGAAAGAGATTTCGGAAAATAGTGCTTATGTGTACGAAAAGTACCAGGTACATGATAATTAACATGATATTATATGTAAGAATAGAGGTGGAATTCAGAACTACAAGTACAACAAGTTTTCACGACTTCCATATGAAATATTATTTATTTATTTTTTTGTATATTCCTTTTCCGCATACGAAGTAGCGGGCACTTTGCTAATACATATATATAATTCACTGTTTCCATAAGTTCTGTGACAATTTATTCAATCAATAAAATCCAGTAAAAGAGAGTCAAGTGAGAGAGCAAGTTTGACAGTTCAACAACAACAAACTTACTGGAGTTTACTGAAAGAATTTTAGCAGTAAGATTTTGCAAACTTAGCATTTTTGGATCAGCTGTTTTATGTATGATGCATTAGACGTCATGTAAATTTTCAGATGTAGTGCAAAACATTCACATAACGATGTTAACGTGGGTTGCTGACGAAGTGCATACTGTTTTATTTAGAATTAGTTTGACATTTGACATAATTTTGAGCACCAAAATCCCACTTTCATGATTTTTTTACAAGAAATCCGTTAGGTTTTTGTCTGAAAAATTATAGTTTTCTGACAAATGTCAGCCTACGAAAAATATTTATACTCTACACAACAGTGTTGTCAGGAATCCGAATCAGGATAGCGAATCCCGCGAAATATTGGTCCTAAACCTTTAAGTATACCGGTCATTTCTCGACTAGCTGAATCGATATAGACATGTGTCCATTATAATTTGTAAACACGATGCAGGTCACTGTTATTGACTAATCGTCACGAAATTTTGCATGTAGGATGGATGCTAGCCAAATGGGGATGAAATGGGCCAAAAACTTTATTTTTGTCTTTTTTGTCGCTCTAGAAGCCACAATTATGACCCGAACACCACGAAATTACACACAGAGAAATGGTCTGGCCATAGAATAAGCATGACAGTTGTGATGAAGATCGGTCGATATTTAGCGGATCAAATAGACACAGACTTTTGTGTGAAAACGACAAATTTTGTATTCTGGAGCGTACATATTTACTAATGAAGGACATAGACCCGAGAAGTTGATAGTATATCCAAGAGAGATGGCTGACCTTTTAATTGATACCAATTATATTGTTGTATGTACTCGGATGTGTAAAAAATGGGAAAATTCCATTGTTCATTTTATTTATTTATTTTGCTGTAAATGGTTTAAAGCAGTTATGGTCGATGTTTAGCTCATAGGCGATGTTACGACTACTAACATGCCGGTCAACTTCGATCAGTTCTCCAATTTTGTCGACATTTTCTATGACCGGCCTACCTGTGCGCGGTGCATCTTTAACATCAAAAATTCCTGAAAGGAATCTACGAAACCGAAATTGGATATAATAGGCTGTTACAGTATGGGAGCCATAAACACCATTCGCAATTTTAGCCCTTCCAACGAGCATAAATCTGAAATTGTTTGATCGATAATTTACGAGAAATCTGTCAGTACAGCCATCTGCCGAAAAAAATAATGGATTTCTTTTTCCCCAACCTAATATTTACAGGGGTCTACGTATTCTGAAATGGTTTAGTATTACTATTACCCCACCTATAATTTTCGGTGACGTTCAGATGGCATTTAGGGGGTCAAAGAACCGAAAACTTTATATTATCTGATTTTCTAGTCGCTATAGATGCCATTACTATATGCAGAACATCACATATTTTACACAGTGAAGGGGATCTGAAAAATACTTAGAAAATATGTCAGACTTTAGTAGTAGTTGTGTAGGGTATCATATGGTCGGTCCCGTTCGACAATACTACTACCGCTCACTGGGTTTTACTGCGGGATCATTAGGAACATAATAAACTCGTTCTTAAGCGAAACATGATCGAAATGCTGTCAAATTCAGAATTTTGATTTTATCAATAAAATGACATTTTTTTTTTAAATCCTTCAAAAAATGGTTTAAAAAAGTCTCTCGCCTAAGTGCAAAATTTGTATGTATATTTGTATAACATCGAACACCGCTTTCTAAAATGTCATTTCGTGAGAAACAATATGAAAGTTTCTATCTACACACAAACAACACAAACGGCTCTTTCTTTGGATACTCGTATCGTATTTTTGTTCGATCGACTTGAATTTACAGTTTCAAAAATTTAAACCGTTTTCCGTTATTCGAACCTAGATTGTTCCTTAAAAACCTCGGTCGAAAATCTCAACAACTAATGAACATATAAATAGGGGATTTTTCAATAAACTAATTGTATAGGTCTGCCATTTTGTTAATTTTTGTGCGAATTTAAAAAAATGGACGTTCTGCTTCCATTTAAACTTATACTAAGTGATCTTTCTATGCAATGTTCACGAACTGAATTAATTACAATTTAGAATCTCATTAGACAAATTATTTCCATGCTAAACTTAGATTAGCCAGAACTTAGATTAGCTTAAACACTCTTGCGGCACTTTTTTCAATCAGCTGATTTGGAATTGTAAATCGAGTATATTCACGGAGGTACTTCTGTATACATGTACATAATTTGGTCTATATGTTAAAAGTGGCTTTCGCTCTCTCCCTCTGTGTAAGTGTGTGTATGTGTGCACGTATATTTACTCAAGGGGCGAAATTTGTAACAAAACTTGTGGAAGCAAATTGTAAACTAATCCTCTCATTCAAAAAGATTTATATTTGAATTATTGCTTACTTTATTAACCATTATGAAGCGGCTCACCCGCCTGCCATAACTTCTTTAGGCCACGAACAGAACATAACACTCCCGCTTATGTACAACACACTGATATCGCTACGATGCGATGTGAATATGTAAATACATACATACATAAGTAGGTTAAATAGAAGGAGGGGATTCTACACATACTCACACTGACACTTGAAAATTTTATTATTATATAATATTTGTATAATTAGAAAACAACAGGAATTCATGGAAAATGAAAAAAGCTGCAGTTGACCGCCAGCGTTATGCAAAAACACATGTGTTAGTGATGGGACATCACAAAATTGGAGCAAAGGACATTAAAGTTTATTAAATGACCTGCATTCGCTTAATTTACTTACACAAAACGGCCAATGTTTATGTATTTGCCGAGCATCCACACACACGCACACACCCAAACATATAGCTAGTGTGGATGAGAATAAGCTGGAAACAAAGCAAAAGCATTTCTTAAGAAATGCTAGTTGGTGAGCCTTTACTTTTTTCATTGAGAGTGTGTATGTTTGTGTGTGTGTGTTTGTGTGAGAGAGATTGTAGTGTTTATGTATGCATAATAGTGGTAGTATTCAATG